CTACTAGCTGTTATGAATTACATGACATTAGAATTTAACTTTATTCATAATAAAAATTTAATATTCTCAGAGAAATATGAAAAATATGAACCTGGGTTTTCCAGCTCAGGGTAACTTATTCTATCTTTTCATGCAATGCAATCTACTACTGAAATCTTTAGATTTGTATGTGATATAAAGAAGCCTGTATTTCAAGCATCAGCCAGGTTCCTGGTACTTAGTAAGTGTCCATAGGATTATCTGTTACAGTTATGATTGTCACTGTTTTTATTAAATGAGAAGGTTCAATCTGGACCTCTGCTCTGACAGTATTTTTACAATGTAACTTTGGAAAACAATTGTTTTTCTGAAAAAAAATGTAATTTATTATGTCAGAGAAATATCATTGGAAAAATGCTAGTTCTGGAGACTGATAATTCAGCATCTTTTAGAACCTGAATTCAACCCAGTTACATCTGTTACATCTTTACATATGCTGAAGAAAGACAACATGTCCTTTCTGCTGGACACGGGGATAAGATTATGTTTCTTAGCTCAAAGAAGTAGGTGACCAGGTCCCCAAAGCACAGATCTGTGTTAACAGTGAAGTTGAAATGAAAGCAGTTTTCATAAAAACAGTTTAATAAAATTATCTAAGTATTTGGAAAACAAGACATTGTGGCTGCCCCAAAGGAAAATGGTCAGATGGAGTAATCCCAGGGATTTTGAAATCTAGTTGAAGAGATGTTTTTTATAGATGCACTAATAACTGAATAAAGCTTAGATATCTTTTTATTTATTTTTCATTATTAATCGGAGATTGTTCTAGGCAGGGAGGCCTTACAGGGCAGATATTGATAGGCTTGTCACTACATTGTGTTATTTAGGTCTAAATCTTGTCTTTTTGCCAGGAAATTGCATAACTTTATATCATGTCTTTACTTTGGTGTACTCTTCTTTCATAAGATAATAATGTAGCTAATTCAAAGGACTGCTGCAAAGACAAAATTTGCTAAGTCATATATAAAAATTCAATACTTGTTACTGATTATTTTTTAAAATAATTTCTATCTCGAGTTTCAGACACACGTTTTTTCATTAATGATGGCATATTCTGCCTGTTTGTGACATTTCCCCAGGGAAACTTCCAGACAGTTTTTATTCCCTGCTGTATCATGAATTGTCTCTCAAGGCCACATGGCCACATGCAAAGAACAGCAAAGTCAATCTATTGGCAAATGTTGTCATTGGGCTTCTTATATTTGCCCCTAACCTGAGCCCTGACCTCCACTTTTTCAGCTCCCTCTCTAGCAGTGTATGAGAAGGGGTGGAAAGGGTCCAGGAGTTTGTGTGTTGACCGCTCTTCCACTGGAAGGGAGCATGAGGAGTGAGCTCTCAGTGCCGCTTCAGCATTTAGCATCCATTTTATCTTCTTCATAGCATTTATTAGCCCACCATCAGTTCCACCGAGGGTCTAACTTCTCTGCATGTATAGTTTGTCCCTGTTGTCAAAGTTTACCCTCAGGGGTGAGGGTGGTAGCCGGCATACAGAAGATGCTAAATAAATATTTAGAGAATGAACAATCCCTTTTTTACTTTTATCACTCCCATATCTAATTATTAACTAAAATTTATCTGTTTTGCTTCTTAGGAATTTCTCATATTTGTCCCCTTCTTTTCTTCTTGTTTGCTTCTACCTGAATTTAGACTCTTACCTTTTTTCGCTTTTATTCTATCTAGTTCTTTTCCTGCACTGCAGTCTGGCTTTGACCACTTTTTGTACTGCCAGGATGTTAACTGTGCAAATGCTCAAATCCTACTTTCTACCAGTCCATACTTTCCCTCGCAGTCACGAAACCTTGTTTTATCTGTGGAACAAATGCACAAGGAAAGGTTCATAAAAAGAGGAGGCTTATTTTGGCTCATGGCTTTGAAGGTTTAAGTCCATGGCCAGTGTCATGGTTTATGTTTGTGTCCCCCAGGCCTCATGAGTTTGCATTGTTCATATGTGATGGTTCATTGTATAGTGCTTGGATTGATGGTGTCAGTGCTCCACCCACATAGGGGTGGAGCCAGGATGTGATGTAATGGCAGGAAGAAGGTGTGTCTTGCTCTTTGCTGGTTTGAGTTTGCTGTTGCCGGCTGCCATGAACTGCATCCCAGCCATGCCTGCCTGTCTTGGAGACAACTGAGTGTGGACTGAAACCTCCAAAAACTGTAAGAAATAAACTTTTCCTTTCCCAGCCTTGGGCTTCAGGTATTTTGTCTCAGTGACGAGTAACTAATACAGCCAGTCAGCCATGTTGCTTTTGGGCGTATGGTAAGGCAGCACATCCTGGTGACAGCCACAGTGGAGCAAGACCCCTGATCTCATGGCCAGAATGAATGCAGGAAAAGGGAGGAACCAAACTTAAGGACCTCCCACTGCCCTTGCTCTTAAATTCTCTACCACCAGTTGGGGTCAAGCCACTGTCACACAGGTCTTTGGGGATATATATATATATATCTCCGGGATATATATCACTATATATATCCAATAATATATCATATATATTATACAGTTATATGCAGATATTATTCTTCTATATGTATAACATGGATCTAGGACATTGTTAAAAATCTATCTTATTATAGGCAGCTAGTTTATGCTTTTCATCATCCGTTGTGTTTTTATCTTCCTGTATGATAAAATGTCTATTGCTCACCCATGTACTCTTCTTCCTGCCATTCCTTCTGTGTTCTTGCAGAGTTTGGCAGATAAAGACAATAAAAGATATAAGTGACAATGTTGCATCTATTATCAAAAGAGAAATGGGAAAATTAAGCTGATCATCAAAATACATCCATTCATTATCAAGCATTCACTAAGCTTCATCAGCTCCAAGGAAATAACCCAGAAAGCAGAGAATATAGTTCATTTGAATGCTGATAAAGCTCCTTTCCTATTAAGAGATTTTATAAACACTAGGTTATGAAGATTTATCAAAAATTGTGAAAATGATAGCTAAATTACTCTGGTCAGTTGTGTCACCCTGCTACAATAAATTGGAAGAGAAATAAGAAACTTTTACCAGTGTGAGTTCCTCTTGCATCGCCACATAAGACATTATCACTCTTTATTCTTCCAATGCATTTCTCATCTAACAGGCAAATTTACAAGTCCCTGAACTTCTAGAACCCTCCGGGTCTTCACTGTTTACAGTACCTAAATTCAGCACCAGCTGTTTTATGCCGGGATCTCTTCCTATTCCCTCAAATATTGCTTCCTTCAAAAATACCAGAACATTACCAGTCATTATCCAATGAGCCAGGACATGCCCTCTTCACATTTCCTCAGAGTTAACCTTTTATTGGGCACAGGAAGTTAATCCTGTAGTGGCCTCCAGGACTACTTCTCTGCCCTATGACACAGTGGCCTCTGATGTCTCTCCAAGCTCTGTGAAAGAACAAAAGAGAAGGTACTATGATGATACACGGTAGTATTCACATCACACAGCTCCACGGCAATGATCTTGCCAGTTTCCATCTCCAGATGATAAGCATCTCAAAAAGAGTGATTGATTTCTTCCAGTGTGACTTCAGTGTCTGACACATAGTAGGTACTAATGAGTGGTACTGAATTAATGGAGAAAAAGTGATATAATGCAAAACTGAATATATCTTTTCTGTTCTGCAGAAAAGACGAATCTGTAGAGCTTGGCTTGAAGAGAAACGAAATCTGTGAGATTCGTAATTCTGGTGGTTGAAATCTTCAATATCTAGATATGAAATTTCCTGGTGCTTGCTGTTTGATGCTTTTATGATCACTTAAAGACATTTTTGTTGTTGTTTCCGGAATAAGGTGTTTCAGAAGCCATAAAGTGGTGCATGATTTTAGTGGACTAGAAATGGGGTCTATAGTGATAAATTACTCTCAGGAATATGTCTGTGCCATAGGAATCTTATCAGTAGGCATAGGACTGTGTGTTTAAGTCAGCTAAGCACTTGGAAAACATTAAAGATGTGACTAATACTCCGACAACAGCCTGGTTCAAATTCCACCTCTGCCACTTTCTACAGCGGTAACTCAAGCAAGGAGCTTAATCTTCTTACAAAGAAGACAACTGCCTCTTAATCTTTTGAAGCCTTTTATGGTTTTAAGCTCCATTTTTTTTGTATAAAACAGAGGTAAAATGGTATTTGTAGTAAAAAAGCACATTAGAATTAATACAACTAGTATAATGGATTTAAGGGAGTGCCTGGAACTAAACTAGCAGCTCAATGAATATGTTGTTTTGTTTGCTACATGGTCAGGTTTCTGCCCTTGTCTGGTTTAATGTAACTACCATGGGTCACAGGCCCAGAAATTTCATGCTGTGGGTCTTGAAGTCTTTCGGCAGGATAACTTAAGATCCTGGGGAGCACCTTTGTGTGAGAATATAACACAGTCATTGGAAATGAGACTTTATGTAATCATTGGACTGAACTAGAACTTAACTATCAAACAACATACATATAGGACAGAAAAACAGCATTCTCAAGAACTTATTTGTTGCCATAGCTAAAATTTAAAAAAAAAATTTTAGTTTTTTGAAAGTTTAAACAAAAAAAAGCAAAGCAGAGAAAAGGATAGAAATAATACAGATTTTTTTTAAAAAAGTAAGAAATCACTAACTGATAAATTATATATTGTCCGCAACCACAGATTGGATGAAAAAGATGTGGTATTTTTATACAATGGAATATTACTCAGCTATCAAAAGAATGATTTTGAGGCTTTTATAGGTAAATGGAGGTGACTTGAGACTATCATCATAAGTGAAATAAATCAGACTCACATGTGTAACTATTGTATTGTGTCTCTTGTATAAAATAAAAAACTAAAAATTTTATATAAGCTATATTTAAATATATCTATTATATATACACCACAATGAACTATATGCATCAAATGTATACAACATATGTCTAACATGTACATTCTATATTATATACATAATATATAATACATACAATTGTACATTATTATACATAAGGTTCAGAGTACATACATATGTATACATATAAGTATTACGTATTATATATATAATCCACATATAGTACATACGTGATAAATGACAAGCATGTATATCAGGATGATCAAAGCAGTCACCTCGAGTGATTATATGAAAGGAGGAAACAGTGCACGATGAAAGGATCTCAGAGCTAGCCAAGAGGCAGCCAGGACTTCCGCCTGCCTCGCCGTGGCGGCAGGACCACAGCTCCACGGTTGTGCAACACCTTCAGTAAACACTTCCTGAAGTGGAGACAATGAAGCAGGGAGTTCCATTCTGCTCACTTCAGCGGAGGCAGGGACAGAGCCACAGCCCAGGTGTGAGCAGGGCCAGGCCCGCGCTGTTAGAGGCCCCCAGCATGTGGCAAGGGATTCTGCTGATGCTCATGCTCCAGGTCTGTGCAGCTGCAGGTAGGCATCAATCTTTTCCAGGTTCCACCAAGTGTCAGAGAGGTCTGCTTGATTGGCATGTGCTGGCAGTGGTTGTCATGTGTAAAATATCCTGGCTAGTTCTCTCCTAGCCGTCAAGAAATTTTGCTAACCAGTCGGGCTGGTTTTAAACTGTTATTTGGGGGCTGTGGTGATGCCAAAACCATGGGAAGGAGAGAAATGAGAGGCCTTGGAATCACACTTACGTGTTTGATCTCTGAATACTGAGAAATAAAAGAGAAGATTTCAGATGGCATAATTTAAACAATGAATATGATATTTGGGTCAAAAAGTGGAATTCATTAAAACTCATTTTTGTCATTTTTAGTGCCTTAGAGACACACAGACCTGACTGGTGACATCTGCAGAAGGTTTTGGCGCAAAGCTGCTATTATTATCAGGGCTAGTTTGGCTCTTTGTATTCCATTTAGCAGTACATTTTTCATTCTCTTTATTTCATGAAAACAAATATGACTAGTTGTAAATAAGCAGTTGACAAATTTTATATTTGTAAAGAGTTGTAATTTTACCTGACAAAAATGTTGCATTTAATTTGATAATTTGCTTTTACTTCACTGGTTTATACCCATTATTTGAAAATATAAAGGTAGCAGAATATTACTTTTTAAGAATATGTTACATCTAGCTTGTCTCATGACTTTTGAAAAATTCTCAGTTAGATTTTTGGATAAATGAGACTTGATAACCCAGTTCCATTTCCAGAACTTAACTTGGCATATTACTGTAGATTCTGGGATCCTTCCCTGGTAAACCTTTTCCTGGGTCTTAGAATGCTTAATGGGACCCAGGAGTAAAACAAATGGGCCCCGAAAGATACGGGGGTTAGGGAAGGAAAGATTTTCTGCTGTGTACCCCATCAGAACAAGGTCACTAAAAATGATTTTTACTACCCCTGGCTTCTGATTTGTTTATCAGACTTGTAAAATTTTTATTTACTATTCTTAAATTGAAGACTGATGTGAGGCATTTAATTGTGTGTTTTAAAATTTCTACTTTTTAAGTAAAAGTTGATGGCAATCTTATTTCCCTATATTTTCCAGAGATGCTGTCTCCCACAAGTCTTAGGGTTTCCATTCTTATTTGAACCACAAGAACTGTTTGGGTCCTAATCACCCAGCATGCAGCCAGGGACTCTAGCATGTTACAAGAGGACCAAGGCCCCTGAATCTGCTAAACGTGTCTTCTTGCCAGCACTGGGTCCTTTGAGTGAAACTGGGGACCCCAATTGTTTCTGCCCCACCCTGGTTATGCATTCAGAACACGGTAGCAATAATGTGATGTTCTTAGAAATCTTGCTTAAAAGTACATCATCCACAGCCAAGTATGTGTTGGTGGAACAGAGAGTCTGAAGCTGCTCAAGCGAGAATGGGGAGGAAGGACAGACAGCAACACAACACCCTCTCTCCTTCCATTCCAAACAGGAAACCATCCCTTGTCTCTCATTTCCCAGCCTAGATGAGCAAAAGTCTTTCCTTAATCACTGAAATACCCCTGCCCATACTCCTATGGATTTATTTTCCAGCAGAACATAAGAAGCAAAGCGATTTTCACGTCTTGCCTCCCCCTCTTTTTCCCTGTCTTCGTCATCACTACCATCGTGCATGCTTCTCTGCCCATCATTTTTGCTCAGTTTCTCTATGCTTGAAATAAATGCTGTGTATAAGGCCAGATGCTTCTAACCAGCTTCCCAAACCGACCCGCTAATGTTTAAAGTATGTGACAGGTGTTTGTGGCACAGGAGGTAAATGAGTACATTCACAAAGATGAGAAATCTACTGTATTTCAGCAAATACAGCACAGACAGTACTTTCTGAAATTACTTTATTTCCAACTAGCCATTCTTTCTTGCCAGTTAAGAGGACGGGACAACCCAAAAAAGTATATTCAGTCTAACCTCAATAAGCCAAAATAATAGGCTTAATCATGAGATAGATTGAAGGGATACACAGAATTTCAGGACTTAAATCAGTGTCATTACATAAATCTTACTTCAGGGCTTGATGCCATATCTCTGTTTGGAGAAACATTTCTTTAAAGACATTGAACAGCTCTGAACAAAAACTAAAATATCAGTATCATGTACAAATGTTTGACTCTCCAGGGTAGCACCCAACATGTTAGCAAATAAAGTAGCACTCTGGGTTAAGGTCTGTTATATTTCAGTTTTGTTAACGAGCTTTGGCTTTTCTAAAAGTAGTAAACAGTATTCTAGCACAACAACAAATCAGTTATTCAACTGAAGCCACAATGATAATTTCCTTTTTCTTGATGCAGTTTTGCTGGACAAAACTAATCTAACATGAGTTCTGTGGGAAAGAGAAAGTACGTATTACAATAAATGAGTAGGAACATATAGTGTTACACATTGGATTTGTGTAATTCCTGGGTGTCAGTTATCTGTGTTTGTTCCATTAGCTTCAAAATAATTAACTTGACATTATTCATTGGAAGGAGGCAAGTCTAACTCCATCCACTCCAACCATTGGACATTCAGATTTGTTACATCCTGACAGGTAGATATCTGCTGTGTAAATTGTTATATTTCAGATCTCATTATTTCAGAGGCCCTTTATTTCAAAAAAATAAGATCCTCCAGGAGAAATTCTATCTGCTTTCTTTAGAGTACTTACTGTAATACAAGAATGTAGAATGAATTGGAAATTCATTTGTTTCACACTAAAAAGAGTGAGAAGTTGCTAAAAGTTTCTGAAAGAAATACCTTTTTCCTTTATGGTTTGCTTTCTTTGTTTTGATTTTCATTTGGAAGCACTCACTGTGAAAGAATGAGCTGGAAATACCTTTTATAACTAATGTACATTTGCTGAGTCCATGTTTAAGAGTCGGTTGATAAGTTTGGATTTCATGAACATGGGAGTTCACAGACCACGTAGAAGTGTGGAGATCAGGGTACACAGCAGAGAGAATGGGTGCAGAGTACATTTACCTTTAGCCCGTCTCACTACTCCTGAGTAGAGTTCGTATTATCACTTCCTATTTTTATACAAGGGTCAGGTAGACAATTAGCATTTATGACCCAAAGGAAGCTTGGACTAATACTTTTATTGGAATCATATACATTATGGATGAAAGCCATTAATACAACATTTTTTAAAAGAGCTCCTGAGGATGTGTCAGTGACATACAGCTTCTTCACCTCAGTATTAGTGGGACTGATTGCATTGATCAGACACCCCAACACACCAGCAGCGTGTTGGTACCTTACGGTGGTCTTGTTTTGTATCCTCAAAGCAGAGGAGGCAGCAGTAAATTGTGTTGATACCCCCAGTTAATTTCTGGCAAGAGTCCTTTTTTTAACCTCTTGGCACCTTATTTTTCTGAAGTAATTATGAAAATTTAACTGGACAGAAAGAAATTCATTATTTAGTGTTTCTCTAGATTTTTGTATTTCTCTTCTGGAAATGTTTTATAACTAATACAATGCATTATATGTATCAAAATTAATTAAATAGAAATAAAATATATCAGAGATTATCTCCACGACAAAAAGAAAAGCTCATGATGTTGTTCTTGAATGTGATGATATGCTAAGATGTATTTTATTTTAACTCATTATAATTTAATTACTCAAATGGCCATGGCCCCTTCAGAAATGTTGAGTTTGTATGTAATTATAGAATACTTGATCAAGCATTAGGCATTTCCCTCTTTTTTCAAAGGCTTAAACTCAAAACCTAAAATTAATATATTCTTGTGCCAGTCCATGCTTTTAAGTGTTTTTGAAACATTTCAAAACAGTAAATCTCAGGCCACTAAAACAAAAGCTCTTTCGTCAGCACCCAGTTTTAGACCTGAAGAGTTCATAGACAATTGACTCACCTTTTCCAGTTTTCCAAGAGGCGTGTAAATGGCTCTTGTGTGATCAAATCCATTAAAGCAGATGTAAAATGTCAAAATTTGACATTATGTGATATGTTTGAGTTTTGTAAGAAAATTTGAAGACATGAGTGTTTTGTTACCTGGAATATCATTGGGATAAACTAAGGCAGTAAGAATCCAGTCCTCCCAGGTGACTGGTGGACTGATAATAATTAACTCAGTGGACACCTCAGTTCTGTTTGTTTGAAAATCAGTCACTGTAACATAAATTTATATTATTTGAGGAGTTAGACTCCAGGGATTCTTGCCATTGACTTACACCCCCCCCCAACCTTTTCAAAAAATTTTAAATGGAGACAGTCTCTCTAAATTTCTCAGGCTTGCCTCAAGTTTGAGAACCACCTGCTCGTCTCCCAAGTAGCTGGTATTAAAGAGGTCAGTCACTATGCTTCAGTTCCTGTCCTCATAAATTGTGGGTAGGGTCTTTCTCTGCCTTCCAAATCCCACTGCAGTCCCTGTCCCGAGTGGACCTGTGACTGATAACCTTTCCTCAGCAGCTGCTTTCCACACAGCAGGAGCTAGATCATGTAGATGAATGTGAGAAAGCAGAAAATCTGGTGTTCACTTTGGGAAAACTGTGAATCTCTCTCCTTACAAGATTTACAGAAACAATGTGCCAGTAAGTATTTAAGATATAAATAGGTTGTATCAGATGACCTTCCAATTCTCTTTCAATACAACTGCTTGCTCAGAAAAGTCCTTCCAGGTCAGCAATGCTCTTCAAAGTCTTTGCTTCTCTAATTTTCTTTTTCTTTTTTTTTTCAGATTTTTAAAAAATTTTATTTAAGGAGGAAAAAAGAAGCAGAGAAAGGGTACAAGTTATACAGATTTACAGAAAAAAAATAAACAGTAGGAAATCACTAGTTAATGGATTACATATTGTCATCTTAGAAATAATTGTTCAAGTCACAAAATTAAAGCTTGTAAAGTGGACATTCCAACAATGATACTGCAAACAGTTCTGTTCAATGATCCAATAAAACTCAGTGATATCATTTTCTATCTTATACACTTAAATATGCATGCAGTTATATAGTTTAGAGCACTTTCTTTTCCTCTCTTTTGTACAATGTCTATTACACATTTTGGGTTTCATTGCTCCCACGGTTCTTATTACTTTTTTGGAAGAGAGTAAAACCAAATGTGACATAACAGAACAGAGTCGGTCAAATCAAAAGGGTGGACATAATAATGTAAAAACATAATACAAGGTGATCAACAATGGTTACCATAATGCCTCCCACTATCTCTAATAGAATTGTCTATATCATTAGTTATAATAAAATTGAACAAAACAGTAAAGAACAAAACTGACAAAACCAAAACATTGGAGACATTGTAGGTCTTCAAAAGTAGATAAAAGTCAACGATGTCAGGATTTTCTGGTGGTGAAACACTATTCTGCTTAAATGGTTATGTTTTGATCTGCGCTGTTTTGCTGTTATGCCCTCTTTTATCTCAATCTCCACTCCATTATTTACTTTTTTATTTTTATCCTTTTAATTAAGGGAAAAATAAACAAAAATAGCAGGATATATTATAGTAACCCACTTTGACTTTCCATTATCTCGATTTAAAGCCCTGTATTACTCTCACCATCTTGTTTTTGACTGATGTTCCCCTATTCTGTTTTGCTGGATAGTATCAGGTTCGAAAGTTTAGGCAACAGCTGTGAAGATAAAGAGATTCATTAAGACGCCCATTCTACTTGACTTTTTTCAGATTTTTTGAATTAAAATTGAAGGTTATTAATTTTGTTAATGCCAGCACATTCTACAAATCTACTATTAGGGCTTGTTCTCACGTGACTTAGTGCTTAAATATTGCTATTGGAAAATTAAAGAAAAATATGTTAGAACCAGAATAGTATTTTTGTAACATCATATGGTTTTTAGAGTGCTTTCTTTCAATTATTCTGAGGCTCATTGTCTTCTTAAAGGATTGGTTTACCTTCAGCAGTCCTTTTGGCCTCTATTGCTGATCCTCTGTGGGGATCTAAGGCAGCAAAGAAAAATGGGAAAAATCCAAGAGAAATGTCATTAAACCAAGAAACCCTGGCCATCTTTCAGTGGTGAAGTATTTTAGATTAGAGATTTGATAGAAAGAGTGGATTTCTGATATTGTCTACGTTTCCTGATGTGAGCACTCTGATCGCTGATGTGCACTGCATGAAACCTCCGTGTGCGGCATCCTTCATTTCGAGTAGAATAAGGATTGTCGTTACTAAGACCAGCTTATTTTCATTCTGCAGCTAAGTGTTCACTTTTCTTCTCTCCTCTCCCCCTTCAGTAAGCGCTGTGAAAGAGCTCCCTCAAGCAAAGAAGTATGAAGTTGTTTATCCCATAAGACTTCATCCACTGCATAAAAGAGAAGTCAAAGAACCAGAAAAACAGGTATAACTTCTGATTTATCAAAGAATTCTGAGTTAGAATAAATATGTGTGTGTGTATAATACATATCTCATGTGCATGTTGTTATGGCTTGTATATAGCTGTGTCTCCCAAAGCCTCATGCACTCATAGGCGGGACTTTCGGGAGGGAATAAATCATGTGCATGTAATCCTGGATCATGGGTGTGTGATACTGGGTTACTTTACCAATTGGTTTAGCGTAATTCTGAATATAAGTGGCAGATTTGTTAAAGAGGGAAGACCCAACCCTGAAGGTGGCTGACATCAGCCAATAGGCTGGCAGCCTATTGGAACGAACAAAGAAAGAAGGAAACCTCTCTGTTTCCTGCCTGCCATGCTGGGGACTGTTTCTCCTGCGCCATGCGACCCAGTCTTGGAGCCAGCCAACTATGGGCTGGAACGTCTACAAATTGTGAGCTAAAATAAACCCCTCCTCTTTAACTTGTGGTGTCAGATATATTGTCTCATCAATGAAAAAGTAACTAAAAAATATATATCATATGTACATACATATATATATATACACACACACACACACACACACTATACAAGTCTGATGTGTCAAATAAATTTTGAAGTTTTCAGCTGCTATGTCTCAGAATTAAATAATGGTACTGATAATGTTTATTTCATATTTGACCTTTAAATCTTTCTTATAATCTAAAGTTCCACCCTTATAATTTATTTTACAACTAAGTTTCTGAAAAGTGAAAAAAGTATGACTCAGTTATCCAAGTATATGAACTTTAATACAATGTGATTATTTATTGTGAACACTTTCAAAAATTATATAATTATATACAATTTATTTTTTTTGTCAAGCATCTCTCTCTCTCTCTCTCTCTATACACATATAACTATGGCCATTCAAACACAGTAGAAAATAAAATGTTGCCAGTGAATGTTTGTTAAAATATTAATCTGAAATTTAATTTTTCTAAACTAGCAACTTTAAAGTAATTTACATAGTACTCACAACTTAATGAAATAACACATTTCAACCAACATTCCCTGAGCAAATTTACTAGTTGCAAGGGGAAAGCTTTAAAAATGTTCCCTTCAATAGGAATATTGTAATTACTTACACTCTGAAGCCTTTTGTTGGGATCCATGAAGATATACATAATTGAGACATAACTTATAAATTGACAGAAATATACTAAAATGCACTATAGACAAGATTCCACATAGAATTTCTTGCAAAACACATTTATAACAGCAGAACCCAAAGTGGACTGTGTTTCTCAAAATAACTATCAACAAAATATTTCCACTGAGTTTAATGGAATTTGTATACACTAGATTCTTCTTCAATGTAACTTTCTTTAAGTGATTCATTGTCTCTTAAAAGTGTCAGCTACATTTTTCTGAATTATTTGAGGAACATTGGGATATAATTGAAGTATTTTTTATTATGGGTTTTAAGTGATTTCCCCACAATTGTGAAAAGAAGTTTAAGATTTTTGTTTTGAAAAAAAATTATCTTGATACAGCATGATGGCCCAGTTACTGGCACATTCTAGATGATCAGTAACAATTTTCCAGATGATCGTATAGATGAATGTGACATGATTAACATTTCCTGCAGACATATTACTTGTCTCATTCATGACTACTTTAAATTGCTGCATGAGCCTTAAGTGTTTTTCTGATCTGGGTGAAAGCGTGCGGGATCTTAATGCAGAGGACTAGTTTGTGTTCATATCTTAGCTTGGTCAGTTTTCCTTGCAAAACCCTAGAGACACAGACACTTTCCATGCTCTTTCTTCAATTTGAATTAGTAATGACATTGCTTATATCATATGTAAACTTTGAGTTTACTGCATGGAAAGTAAGGCAGGATGCAAATATTATCTCCAAATTGGATATTATGTTCATCTTGCCATATAAATCCCATATTATAATTTTTTATGACTAATTTCCAAGTCTTTAATAGCTTCAGTTCACAGATAATATGCCTATTTTTTCACTTATCTTTCTCAATAAACCTGCTACTAAACCTAGTTATTCTTTTCTTAACAGTATACTTATTCCTACCTCTATGTCTCATGTTATGGATTTCTCGCTACTTAAAATATTTATATTTGAAGAGAAGTCTGTCTATGTGTTTTTATAAGATTAGTGTGGCATATTCTTTATGTCTTAATGGAACTTTCCTCACATCATGCTGTAGTCATGGGCATAATTCCACAGTTTATTACTTGGTTTTTTAAAATACTGGTTTTGAATCTGTAGTGGTGTAGGTGCACGTGCGTGTGCCTATAAGAGTGCATGTAGCTTTCTCTTCTACTTTGAAACTGTCTGGATCAATTTTAAAAAGCTGTCTTGTCATTCTTTGACATACCCTTCCATCTCTTTTCCCCTTGTCTCCAACCTCTGTCTTGAGATATAAACATTTGTTCCGTTAACACTTGTTGACTCAGATAAATCTTTACATAGACTATCAATTGTACCTTGTGAGGAATGGCTATAAAATTCTCAGATAATTTACCTTTTTAGTTTTCAAAAGTGGCTGATCTATTCAAAGGGGAACATGTAGATATTTGGTGTTTCATAGTCTGCTAAGTAAAGAAATGCAAATATTGCCAGATGATGTGATTAAACAAATAGAAGTAGACAAATATGTATTTATGTATCTTTTTAATTCACAGTAAATGTTTGTGCATTTTTTACAGGAAAAATTTAAAACTGAATTAAAGTATAAAATGACAGTGAATGGAAAGATTGCAGTACTTTACTTGAAGAAAAACAAGTAAGTATTTTTAGCTTTGATATTATCCTCTTCTGGAAGAAATTAAAGTGTATAGTGTGTTAATTGAGTTTTACTACTTTTGACCCTCACTAATCAGCTTTCACTCTCAGCTGACCCAAGTGAATATTTTTTCTACCAAAGTAGTAGAAGTTCATTGAGTAAAACAACAATTCATTAATATTTTGATATTTTAGATTTAAAACAGAATGAACACAATGTGGAAGAGACGTCCATTTTATTTTACAAGAGACAAAATGGAGAGATACTAATGTACTTTTCCATAACTTTTAAAATTTCCTCTACATTATTGCAATTTATTATTCTAACACTGAAAGATTATATTCTAAAACCATTTGGAGAAATGATCAAGACACATATAAGTGAAATAAACTCTAGATCCAAATAAACAACCTCTCCTTATTCCAGCACCAATGGTTTTTCTATCCAGGAATCCACTTACCTATTTTCCTCATTGACTACATTATCCTATTGTTGTTCATTCTCTTCATGAGATTGAACAGAATTCAGAAAATCTTTCATGCCAGAAAAGCCCTAATTCCCTAATGGTATAGATCTCACCCAGATCTCGATCCTCTTATTTCTTGATTATTTCTAAACTAGTTTTTCCCAAACCTCTGCTTTTAATCCCAGCATCATTCTTTATAAGGTAGCAAGATTTTCCCCCCAAAAATAGTTTATTATCTTTCAAAAATCAACAAAAGAGACTGAAATTTGAAACCAGTGTGGCATAAAGGAAATAGCACAGATCTTAAATTCAAGCCAACATGAATGTGATTCTTTGAAGTCTTTATTCTCATATGAAAATAAGCAAAGTAATAATTATTTCATAGGATTAAGTTGAATTGTGCACATTACATTTCTAACCCAGCGCCTGCTCTAGAGATCCTCTAACCTGGCCTCTTTTTTAAAAAATATAATAATTGCTCACACAATATGAAATTAACTAAAGTATTTATTGATAAGTGAATGGATAAAGAAATTGCAGTATATGTGGAATACATGTGGTGATATACTATTTAGTTTCACAAAAAGAAATCCCACCATTTGCAGTAACATGGATGGATCTAGATGCCATTACACAGAATGAAGCAAACCAGGAAGATACACACATTGCCTGATGTCATTTACGTGTGGGATCAGAAGTCTGCTTACAGACACAAAGGCCTGGGAGGGGCTGGGGACAGAGCAGGGAAGTGAGAAGGTGTGGATGAAAGGCTACGAACTTCCAGTTGTACATACGTTGGTTCTGGGTATCTACTGTGCAGTGTGGTATTTGTGGTTAGTAATAATGTATTTTATACCTGAAATTTGTTAATAGAGTCTTAAGTATTCTCAGAACATACAAATGAATGAGAGCTTGATTGTGCTCATGATTTCATAATGAATTTGTTTATCAAACCATCACATCGTACAGCTCAAATATCTTCTATTTTAACTTGTTGAGTATTTAATCTCATCTACACATGCAAACAGACATACAGACAGATGCACAACTGCACATAGTCATCTCTCCATATCCTCACAGGATTGGTTCTAAGCACCAAAAGGCTACTAAATCCTCAGATGCTCAACTCCCTTAAATAAAATTGCATAATTTTGCATAGAACCTACATACATCCTTTTGTATACTTTAAATCATCTTTTGATTACTTAGTATGCTTAATCAAAAGTAAATGGTGTAGGGGGCTGAGGGTTTAGCTCAGCGGCAAAAGTGCCTGCCTTGCAAGCAGGCAGTCCTGAGTTCGATCCCCGGTACCAAATAAAAAGAAAAAGACAACAAAAAAAGTAAATGGTGTGCAAATACTTGTTATATTGTATTATTTAGGGAATAATGATACCAAAAATTCTGTATGTAATTACTTCAGTTGCAACATTTTTTTCCCAAATATTTGCCAGCTGAGATTGGTTGAAAGCTAAGGTGTGGAAACCAGGGAGGTGGTCGGTTGTCTGTATACATACATCCAGGCTCCTGTTTTTGGTCAATAAGTTTTGAAAAAGCTTAGTGAAAATGCCAGAAGGGCCCTAACTATCCAATTGGAGTCCATTCCCAATAAGCTCTGCTCTGAAGTTGCTGACTTGGGGAAAAGTGTAGTCATCCCAGTGTGAGTAGAAACATTCTTCATTGACATTCTTAGCTTTTATCAACTTTGACCCTCTCAGTTCTGCATCTTCCTAAAGTCTTTCCCCAGAGAAACCTGCAAAGTCTCACAGGAAAGCAGGCTCTGTTTCACCCTGCTCAGGAATGTCCCTTCCATTCTGGTCCTTCCAAATTAAGCAGCTTTTTCATGCTTGCACTTGTCTAGAGGGGTCCAAAGGAGGAGTTAGAGAATTACAATTTTTCCTTGTGCCATGAAAAATTCATTTTGGTCAATAGACTTCACTAGGAGTGAGAGTAACTCAGTATTTTTTTTTTCTTTCCCCAGGAATCTTCTTTCTTCAAACTACACAGAAACACACTATAGGTCCTCTGGAAAGGAGGTCACCACAAGCCCACAAATCATGGTACAAGAGTCTTCAGGTTCCTTATTAATGGGAGGATAAACCAGGAGTGTTAGCACCGTGTCCTCACCAGGCAAATCAAAGGGAAACAATGTCCATAGCCTTGAGAGTTTTTCACCAGTAATAATAACTTACCTGACCTTCTAACTCTCACGATTTAAAAACAAAAGGCATTCCTTGTCAACCCTACTAACCTTTACCATATTTCAAGGTAGGAGGGCAGAAAGAGAGTGCTTTGCCCTTAATGTTTTTGGCAGCGTAACTTTCTGTATCATGGAGAATTAAATACCTTTAAATTCTCTCCTAGTTCACCTCCATCAAACTCAAGTCTGTCTGCTCAGTGGCAATTGTAGGGTTTTGTGTGTCCCTTGAAAGATGGCAGTCAGTGTCCCTTTCCAAAATGAGCATATGACAGTGAGCTGTAAGGCTTTCTTCTTGAAGATTCCTTAAAATATTTTTGCTAGACAATGATACAAAAGTTTGCATGGTATGGGAACGCTACTGATTTCTGAGTGTTTATTTTGTATCCACTTACATTATTGAATCTGGTTACTCAATCTGTGAGTCTTTTGGTGGGGTTTTTTGGGGTCTTCTACGTAGAAGAGTATTATGTCATCTATAAATAATGATAATTTAACTTCTTCCTTTCCTTTCCTTTTGTTTCTTTTTATTGTATAATTGTCTGGCTAAATTTCCAGAACCTGAAGGAGTAAATAATGACTAAAATGTACAATAGATATTGTGAAACAGGGATAAACTGTTCTAAAGGAGAGAAGAACTAAGGTGGGAGAAAAGAAAAAAGGAAGGGGAAAAATACTGAAAAAGAAAGATGAAATGGAAACAAAGATTTGTAAATAAGGAGGGTAAGAGGGGTTGAAGAGAGGGCAAGGGTTAGGAAAAAGAAGAGGAATTAAGATATATCATACACAGGAACAAACGCCCTATGATGAATATGATCATTATGTATACCTAAATCGTACCAATAAACCTAAAAAAAGACTTTACATGGGCCAACACTTTATCTGTCCTAAATTAAAGAAGTCTTCATGGAGCAGCCACATAAAAATGTTATCAAATAAAAGGAAGGAATTGTACAGGCTCATTACAAGTGGACCTCTTTGGCTAAATTATGAAATAAAAATGAAATAGAATAGCTTGTCATTTTGGGAAAAATCCAGGCCTTTGAAAATAATCAATGAACTGTTAGTCACTGAAGCTGAAGAATAAAAGTTTGATTTGGCATGGTGTGCAAATCTGTAATCCCAGCACTCAGGAGGCTGAGGCAGGAGGATCACTGTGAGTTAGAGGCCAGTTTGAGCTACAAAGTGAGTCCAAGGCCAGCCTGACCTCCATGGGGAAATCCTGTCTTTAAAAAAAAAGTAGAAAAAAATATAATGAAAGCCTGGTGTTTGGGGGACTCAGGTTTTAAACTTACAGTCCCACAAAGTATTTCTTCTAAACAGTATTTCACAAGGTATTTCTTCTAAACAATTTTTCCCATATCAGCAGCAGCAATCTGCAATTAATACTTTATCAGTACTTTGAATCATTAACTGACATCAAATACTTTAATACTTAAAAAACTAATATTTAATTCTTGTCTAGCAGAAAATAGTTTGAAAGGGTTATGAGTCCTGTGTCAAGATTTAAAATTCAAATTTATGAATGAATCTGAAAACCATGAATACTGTGCTCCAAAAAACCCCTTGCTCTGTTTTTCTAGGATGATTGTTACTATCAAGGACACATCATTAATGAAAAGATTTCTGATGCTAGCATCAGCACATGTAGCGGCCTACGGTAAGACTTTGTTAAGGTTTTGTGTGTACCCGTGATAATGGTGTGAGTTTAATGAATCTGAAGACTCGTAAATATAATTATTTATACAATAGTTGAGCATGAATTCTAAGGGGTAGAAATTTTTGAAATTTGAAGGACATTTCTCTTTTACTGATGTGTGGCTTGCACACCTGCATTGCTTTAGGCGTTTTTTTTTTTTTTTTTTTTTTTTTTTTTTTTTTTTTGTTTGCTTATTTTAAAAATCTAGGCTTTGGAAACTTGGCGTTAGAGTCAGAATCTTAGGGAATGGAAGTTCTTTTCAATCTTCTTCCCAATCTGAATTCTTCCTAGTTTGTCTTAGTCATGCCTGTAGCTTGCATTTCTGTCTGTTACTGATTTTCTGTGCTTCTGTCTACAATAAAAATCTCTTGTAATGATCGGACTCAATTATGTGATTTTCCTTTCCATATTTCCAGTTGAAAATCATGATGAATCTTCATGTAAATGTGCTCTAAACCAAACTAGTGGTTCTCGCGGAAATTTTTCCTATGCTGTGGATTTTAAGTAATGGTACAATCAAATAATCACCTGCCCAGTTTAGGAACTTACTCCCTTGAGAATTTCTTGTAGCCTCCCATGGTCAATCCTTTATCAACTTCAAAATATTTCCTGACAGAGCCCTCTACGTTCTTCCTCTGCTGCCCTAACTTCAACTACCATGACCCTTTATTCAAGGTACTGCAAACAGACTAACAAACAAACAAACTTGCAGTTTGACTCCCTACATCTACTCTTGCTATCTTCCAATTCTCTGTGTTAAATCTGGTGTCCCTTTTTTCTTTGAACTAATTATTTGTCTCAAATATATATGATATTTGCTACGTGATTATATTCCCTGGTTATTTAATACACATCCACTTTTCCTCATTTGAGTTGACTCTCTATGAGGGAAGAGATTATGACTCTGCTCTCTGTCCTTGGTCTTAGCTGTTGAATATTAGGTGATCACTGAAAATCAGTTCAATGAGTCTTAGCCTAAGATTTCAGCATAAGGAGTAGAAAAGGAATTAATATATTTGTTTGATCATTTGCTTTCTATGTTATCTCTTTCATTCTTTCATTCTTTATCATTGTATTAGCGGGTACCTGCGTATCAGTATCATAGGTAGACAAACTGAGACTAAACTAATTTAAATAATTTTTCTTTCATGGATAATAAGTAATAGACTTCGGATTTTAACATGATCATTTAAGATTCTGAAATACGCTCAATTTTCAGTGAACATTTAGATTAGAAAGGGTAAAAATCGGAAGAATGCTGGTCTGAGACAGGAAATGTCTCTTTCAGGTATAGCAGTGGTGTGACTGGCTAGATAGTATTTCAACAGTCCTTTCTCCTTAGCAGGTCCTGTTTCTTTATAGAGAAAAGAAGTGTAGGTAATAGTGTTTAAAGGTATTGTCAACTGTATGCCATCTATTACTATGAGATAGAAATTTTGTGCACTCCTTTCTGGAACTTATAAATCTGTACCACTCAAATGCAAGACTGTTTCCTCCAGAAACTGAATTCTCATTGTACTTCAGGGGCTACTTTAGTCAAGGTGACCAGAGGTATTTCATTGAGCCTTTGAGCGCCACACCTCGGGATGGACAGGAGCATGCCCTCTTCAAGGATGAGCCCAGTGATGACCAGGATGACAGCAGATGTGGGATGGATGATGTGCTGTGGGTACCCAGATCACACCAGAATGTGGTCTCACCTGCCACCAGACTGGTTGTATGTACAGCTTTATCTTTACCTGTGATTCTGTCTTTTATCTCCTCCTAGGTTCCAGGCCCACCAGTGCAAGAGACTTATGGTGTTAAGTGACTGTTGAAATTAGTAGATTATAAAGACACTAATCATTAAATATCGCAGTATATCAATGATTCATTTAACAAGTATTTATGGAAAAACTAAATAAAAAGGTTAAAAAGCAGCTAAAATGTCACACTTATCCTCTAGGACCAGGCAAGATATTCTGCAGCCTACAACAACCCACAAAAGTGAATGATTGTTAATATTTTGAGATGACACATAGCCACCAAATTTCTGAATGTACTCAACAAATCTCCTTCAGTGACTTCCATGAGTAGTAGCCGTCTACCAGTGAGCACAAGAGACATGAGACCTGTGTACAGGAACTTGGAATGTTCTTTCTTATAAACAGTTCTGCTTCCAGCCACAGAAGAAAATGGAATGCAGCTTTTTGTTTTAAATGTTAAGTGCATGATAAAACACCTTTGCCATTATTAGTTCTATTTCCTTGAGGATCTACTTCAAATCCGATCATCTCTTAAATATTCTCAGAATCTCTAAGCACTGGTAAGAATTGTTTAGAATAAAGGCTCAGGTGTGTGCAGCAGGCTTGCATTCTACTAGTGCTATCTAAGAACCCAGAAGAACCAGTCCTGGGCACTTTGACACCGGGCTCTTCTCATTGCGTCTCAGCTCTTTGGGAATCATGTGGAAATGCCCTTGCTTTGCTGACCTGCTGTCATTTTGGCTTTCACCCACCTCACTACTGTTCCTCTGTATAAGCCCCTTGCTGTCTCCCCTTCTCTGGCTCAACACCTAATGACAATGGAGGATTTAGAAAGCTCAATCCTGGCTCCCTCTCTTTGCCTTATCTGCATTACCATATATATATATATATATATATATATATATCTTCAGCCATTGCCTCTCCCTAGCTGGCTATAATTAACTACCCATTTATGTATCCATTTAAATTCCAATAGCACATACATAATATGGTAAACTAGAACTAACGAGTTTTGAACCCCAGACAATACTTGCTTCTCTCTCATTCTTCCCACCTCAGTTAATATCACTGCAAGTCATCCTTTGCTGAAGTTCACATCTGAAAATTACCCTTGAGTCCTCTTGACTTCATCCCTGCTTATAGGGCAGCTATCGGCATGTATTTCAATCCTCACTTTGCTTTCTCTTCTCATGGCCCCAGGAACCATCCCACAGTCACCATGGTAACAGCCTCTAGTTAACCTTCCTACTCTCATTATCTCCTTAGAGGGTCCTCTTACCTTAAAGTAGGTTGGCTGATGGTTTTTATTATAAATCATACCACATCCCTTTTTTCATCAAAGCCCTGCAGTGACTTTCCATTCCATAAATAAAACTATGAAATACAAATCATTGTATGATTAGGGACATGTCAAATTCTCTAGTCCACACTTCACATATACTAAATACTAAATACCCTTTCTTGTTTTTCTGACAATAGCAAACTCCTTTTATCTCTGTTTCAAATATGCTAATATAATTGCCTTAGATTCTTTTACTAATTGTTTTCTGTGCTGGAATATCTTCTTTTCCCTGAGTTCTCATTTCTTTTGGATACATTTTGTTTATTAGCACACGTTTGCCATGCATAGAGATCACATCCCCATGGAGACTCTGTATCTATTCTTTTCCTTCAACTCTCACTTTTTTTCAAATCTTTCTTCCATTCCTTCCTTTCCTTTCCTTCCATCCCTCATCTGACTACTTATTTTTATTAAGAATCTTGTTATAGGTCAACTCCTTAAAGAAGCTTTTGCTAACCATCTTTTATGAAATAACTCTGCATGAGGGAATACCTGGAGACTGAGGCTGCGGAAAGGACTAGATTTTACTCTACGTTTTATTTCAGGCAGGTTGAAATCAAGTGATATCAGCTGCCATCTGGAGGGGAGGCTAAGTGTATACAGGGTTTAGGGCTGGGAGTTGCAATTTCAAAGACTCTGAACAGAATGTTTGTAGTGAAAGCTTTAAGGAAAATCAGTACAAGTGTGTATAAGCAGCTGGCCTCAGGAAGCCTACAGGTCCAGTTCTAAATGTTTTATGGCCCTTAGTTCTGATTTTCTGAGTGCAGCCTAAATGCCTGTTTGTAGTGGGCAGCATGAACGCAGGCCTGACAGATACTCAATCACACAAATTCACATTAAATCCACCCGTAGTGCTGGTTTCTTTCAGATACATGGGTGTATTTGTCTCTTGTGAGCTCCGTGTACGGATGGGCCCAACCTCCTTTGCTGTTATATTCCTAGTTCCCACAACACTGGTAGTCCATAAAATGTGCTAATACATATTTTGTTCCAATGGAGAGTGGGAGGTAAATATGCATTTCATCACCGGATACCTAAAAGTCAACTGGCAGTGATTTGTTTTTGGGTAATAGGAACTTAATAACCTAACAGTGCCTCCAAAAGTGCACCCTAATAATCTTGATAGTTTATTATTTAGTGGGAATTTTGGGTGTGTTATTTTTCAATAGAAAAAAATCTACTGTGAAAAGTTTGGGTTTTTTTCCTTGGAAAGAAATGAACAGAAAACAGGGACACCTGGAGCCTAGGAAAGAGTTGCACCCTGCAGAAAAGAGAGCAGAGGACAGGCAGCGGGTATCTCTGAGTGCTGTGCCATTGACAGACGATGGATGCTAATCAGGAATGAAAGGAAAGGCTGCTTCCCAGAAAACAAACAAATAAACAAAAAGCACAAAGCCAAATCCAAAACCAGAACTAAAAACACAAAATACATGTGAAAGACTTCAAAGCCAATGTTTCTCTGTTTCATTGCATGATAGTGGCAGAAATCCACTCTTCATGAAATCCAAATGCTGGTTCCATCTCCTGCTATGTACCTAAGAAATCGCTTAATTTGTTTGATTAAAATGAAACTGTCCTAGTAGTTTACTACTGATGTCCCTTCTAGCACTAACATACTGAGACTTGTCTACAGGTGATCTTGACCACTGAGGAATGTTAACAAGGTAATACTGTTTGATTTTATTCGCAGACACCATCTAACTTCTTATAAAATTACGCACGCAAATAGCAGACTGTTTCAGGGAAAGATGTTATCTTAGTAACAGTGTTGCTTATTTTTCAGGAATTAAATGGCCAGGAGGCTCAGGATCATAACAAATACATAGAATATTATTTGGTCCTGGATAATGGTGAGGTAATTATATCAGATAACTTTGTCCTTTAAAATCTTTCTCCACATAAATTTGTTTATGATGTGAGATAGTAAACATCTATGTGAATTTTTGTTGAATTTTTACTAAGTTTATTGGTACGATTTGGATATCCATAGTGATCACATTCATCCTAGGAAACATATCTTTATGCATGTGTCATAGTTTCTTTTTTTGTTTAGACTTTCTTCCCCTCCCTTCAACACCTCTTCCTTCCTTATTTGCAATGCTTTGTTTTTGTTTATCCTTTTCTCTTTTTATCTTTCCCCTTCCTTACTACCTTCCCCATTCCCCTTTCTTTTTGAATAACTTCTTATTTCACACTATCTATGATATATTGTGGTTCTTATTTACACTTTCAGCTTTTCACACCGAGAGACAATGTGATATTTACACACACGTGCCTAATTTATTTTATTTAAGAGTATGGTCTCAGGGTGCATCTATTTACCTAGGAATGCCTCAGGTTTACCCTTCTTTATGAATGAATAGTACTCCATTGTATACAAAATCCACATCTTTAAAAAAAAATCATTTGTTGGTTGACGGGCATTTGTATCATTTCCAAGATTTAGATATTACAAACTATGTTGCTATAAACATGGGTGTGCATATGTAACTGTGATATGATGCTTTTAATTCTTTTGGGAAGACTCCAAGAAAGGAAATAGCTGGGTCAAGTGGAACATCTGGTCCTAGTTTTTTGAGAAATCTCTGCACTTATTTTCCACAGTGTTCGCACCTGTCTGCACTCCCACCAACAGTGGCAAAAGGTCTTTTTCCCCACAGCCTGGCCTGCATTTGTTGTTAAAGAAATTAGAGTGAAAAGATAACCTACAGAGTGAAACGAAATCCTAGTCAACTGTTCTTTAGACAAAAGACTAATACTAGAACATATAAAGAACTGAAAAACATCAGACTCTCCAAATTTCAGTTAATTAAATAGGCATCTGAAATCAATAGAGAGATCAATAGACTTCTTTCTCAGAAGAAGTACAAATGGCAAACAAAAATGAAAAGATGTTCAACATCACCGATCATTCAAGAGATACTGGGGCTGGGGATTTAGCTCAGCGGCATAAGCGCCTGCCTTTGTAAGCAGGTAGTTGTGAGTTCAATCCCTGGTACCAATAAAAATAAAAAAGACAAAAAGAAAAAAAAAAGACAATAAAAACAACACTGAAATTCCATGAAGAAATTGACCTTTGTCAATTTTTAAAAATAATGAATATGACCTAACCTACAAATTATTTTGAACCTATAAAATTTAATATTTATAATATTACATTTTTTCCTTTTCAGACATAGACAAATATGTTATACATAAATTTAATTTTTAACCCTGTAATTCTCTTTCTTTGTCCTTAGTAATCCAAACTTAATCAATTAAGTTCTTCATCATGTTGTCTTCCATAAAGTAGTTAAACTTTTATAGTTAGAATTTATGCTCATCAGATAGTAGTAAATATATAAGTCCAGTGAATGGGGTCTTTGAAAAAACTTAAATCTTTGGGGATAGTCGCTACTTACCTTATTTTATAACAATAGATTTGCATATATTGTGTTTTCTAAGAAGTCCCATTGTTTCATACCAAAAACAGAAAATCAACATAAAAATATAGGTAAATAAATTAGCACAGGTCTTAAAATTTCGTCTCTCTTGTTGCATAGAATTTATTCACTGTTCATATAATATAAATGTATAAATACATATATTTAAAATTTTTTCACATTTTTTAATGAGTAAGCTGTTTCTTATACTGATTATATACAGGTTAGGAAACCATGAAATTCAGCTGAAAATATATTTGGAATGATTCTTATGAGTTTTATACTGATGTTATACTTCAAGAGAGAAAACAAAATCTACACTCCCAAAGTGCCTTAAGTTAGCTAAGAAATGAGTCAATTTGGTTTTAACTTTTAATAATCAATCCTAAATTGTAAGGTCTGATAGGTAGTATATCAGGTTACTTTTCTTACTTTCTAATTATATTGATTTCTATTGATGCTTTTTTTGGTCCTATTTTTTTAGTTTAAAAAGTACAATGAAGATCTGGAAGAAATAAGAAAGAGGGTTTTTGAGATGGCCAATTACATTAACATGGTATGATGTATTTTATTAAATGGAATTTTATTGGATTTCTCTATGCATGTTTGTGGTTCTGGGAAGGAAATCAAAGGTTCCTGAGACCAGTGTGTCTGACTGCCTCAGCGAAGGATAGTCATAACTTCTTCTGCTTAACTGAGTGTCATTATCACATGGTGGAAACGTTTCTCAAATACTTCACTCTTTTTAGTTTTGTTTAGATGCTTTTTGCTTTTTTGAAAACTAAGAAAATGCTAAAAACCAAATCTCAATAGAAAGCTGATCCAAGAACACAAACACTAAACTATGCTCATCTCTTACCAGTAATATTTATTACATGGACCACCTTGTTCAGTCTTCAAAACAGCTCTGATTATTACAAACGCTTACTGTACAGAAAATTTTATCTCTATATGTATACAGTGACTTGTCTAAGATCACAAAGCGACCTAAGCAGTGGAGATAAGGTTTGAATACAGAGCTGCCAGGTTTTAAAGCCTGTTTCAGTTATACAGCTGTTGATTATATTCTTTAGGCATCAGAGTGTAGTCTAATTTATAAAAATTTTAAAAGCTATTATATGTACATCAATTCAATATTGTTGATTTACTGTTTATTGACTATATAGCTCAAAATGAAAAATTCTGTGAATAATATCTTTGTATCCTCAGATAATAGAAAAACAAGGAATGTGCATTCAGTAGCTAAGGTCATGTCTAACATTCTCATCACACAGATCAGACTCACTCTCCTGGGAAAGCTGAGAGATAGACAGATTGAGGACCCGCTTTGCGCCAGGTAGTTTCTAGTTTACAGGAATAAAGTGGAGAACAAAATGGATAAGTATACTTTCCTTCAAGAGATTTACAAATATAAACCAAAAGCTAAATAGTGTGTCAGATGGTGATAGATATTATCAAGAAAAAATACAACAGAGAGGAGAGAGAAAAAGAGATAGAGGGAGAGACAGACAGAACAAGAGACAGAGAGACAGACAGAGAGATAGAGAGAGACATGAGGCCTAAGCCATTAAGCTCTTAAAAGGTTATATGTTGTTCTTTATGTTGAAATAAACTGCAAAGAATTAAAGACAGAAGTGAGAAGTCCAGCAGGTCATTCAGGCCCTAATACAGGGCAAGAGATGATGGGGCCTTGGAAGAAGTAATGGTGAGGAATTGGCTGAGAAGAGCTGAGCTACGGGCAGAGTCAAGAGGGTTTACAGGGTGAGGGGTTATGGAGAGAGGGGAAGGAAGAAGAGGCAAATGATGTGAAGGATTTCAGCCTCAGCAGACTTAATACGGGGGAGAAATGAGAAGAAAGCATGGCGGGGTGAGGGGAGACAGATTTCTTTTTATGTCTCCTCCTCTTCCTCCTCCTTTCCCTTTCTCTCTATCTTCTGGTCCCCTTCCCATGTGCAAAATCTCTATCATCCTGTTTCCTTTTATCTCTTTCTATTTTGCTCTTTACTTCTACTTTGGATTTTTCATATGAAAGAAACCACATGGTACTTAAGCTTCTCTGATTTACTCTCTTAACATTGTGTTTTCAAAGGGCATCAATTTTCCTAAAATTGACTTGTTCGTCCTTCTTTGTAGCAGAGTAGTATTACTTTGTGTATAAATATGAAACTTAATCCATGCATCAGTCAATAGATATACAGGCTGTTTCCAAGATTTAACTATAATGAATTAGGCAGCTATATTTATGAATATGCCAGTGTCACTGTAGTATAATAGCTTTAACTCTTTTGTGAACACCACTTGTAGGGAAGTAACTAAATCAAATGTGATTCCTAGTTTTAGCTTTTTGAGGAAACTCCATATTGATTTCCATAATGGTTATACAAGTTGACATTTTCTCCAACAGTGTAGGTGTGCTCCCTCTTCACCAAAGGCTCACAGTATTTGTTATCATTTGGTTTCTTGGTGATTTATATTCTTTCTGGCTAAAAGTGGCATCTCACTATTGCTTTGGTTTACATTTCTCTAATAGCCAGTGATGCTGAACAATTTTTCAATTATTTATGGGTCTTTTGTATTTTCTATTTTGAAAAGTATCTATTCATTTCAGTTGCCCATTTTTTATTGGGTCTTCTATCTTGGGACATCTAAACTTTTGCATTTTCTTTGGATATATTCTAGGTATCAGTCTTCTCTCTAAAGTATAGCTCAAATAATGTTTTCCACTCTGCAGTTTCTCTCTTTAGTCTACGGATTGTTTCCTTTGTTGTGCAGAATCACTTAGTTTGATAGAATCTCACTTGTGGCTTTTGATGTGATTTCTTGTGCAATTGGAATTCCATTCAGGAATTCCTTATCTACCCCTATGACTTCATGAGATTTACCTATTTTATCTTCCAGTAGTTTGCTTTATTTTAATATTTAGTTCTTTGATTCATTTTGATTTTATTTTAGTACATGGTGAGAAATATGAAGCATTTGTTAAAGATGTTATCTTTTTTCCAGCACTTGTTTTTGGTAACTTTGTTGAAGGTCAGGTGACTGAATGCAGGTATGTCCTCTGTTCTGCTGCATTGGTTCACATCTCTGTTTTATATTAGTACCATACTGTTTTTAGTTACTATAGCTTTGTAATATAACTTCATATCTGGGACTGTGATGCCTCCTGCTTTGCTTTTGTTGTTCAGTATTATTTTTGTTATTTTGAGTCACTTTGATTGCATATGAATTTTACAATTATCTTTGTTCTTGTTCCTGAGGGATACTTATGGAAATATTTTCATTAGGATTATATTTAATTGGTGTATCAATTTTAGAAGTATGGCCATTTTGACCATGTTATTTCTGTCTACCAAGAAATGAGAGAAAGCTTTACATTTTTTGATATCCTCATCAATCTTTTTGAGAATTTTATAGTTTTTACCCCCTTAGCCAGGCTAATTCTTAAATGTTTAATTTTTTTATGCTCTTGAGAATATTTTTGTTTTCTTAATTTCTTTCTAAGTGAGTTCATTATTGGTGTATAAGAACATTATTGATCTTTTGAGTTGACTTTGTACCTTACTACATTATTGAAGTTGGTTAGTTATTCTAGAAGTCTTTTGGTAGAATTTCCTGGGTCTTCTATGTAAAGGATCATGTCATCTGTGAATATATATTCTTGTGGTTTCTTTCACCTTCCTAAAGCTCTGGCTGGTACTGCTGAATGAGAGGAGTATTAGTCAATATCCTTGTCCTTTTCCTAATTTTACAATGAAAGCTTTCAGTTTTTCTCCATTTATATAATGTTGGCTGTTGATTTATCATGAATCAGATTGTCAAACTGAGGTAAGGTCCTTTTACATATATTCCCTTCAAGGTTTATTTTTAATTATGAGTGGGTGTTGGATTTTATCAAAATCTTTCTCTGCATCTACTGATATGATCGTGTGATTTTTTTCCCTTGCCTCTTTTTATGTAGCATATTACATTTACTGATTTGTGTTTGTTAAACCATCCTTGCACTCCTGAGATGAAACCTTCTTGGTCATGATATGCAATCTTTTTGATGCTTTGTTGTATTTTATTTGCCAACGTCTTATTAGAGACTTTTGTGCCCATGTTCATCTAGGCAATGGACCTCAAATTTCCTTTTTTAGTTTGGTCTTTGGTTGGTTTTGGAATCAGAGTGATGCTGGCTCACAGGGATGAGTTTGACAGCACTCTTTCCGGATGAATATCATGAAAGAATTTGACGAGCATTAGTGTTATAATCTCCCTGAAAGTCATGTATAATTTAGTAGTATATCTGTGAGGTTATGGGCTTTTCTTAGTTCAAAGGGTTTGTATTACTCCTTTAATTTCATTGTTTATTACTGGATTGCTTAGAATTTTTATGTCTTTTTGGTTTAGTTTGGTAATTTGTGTGAGTCTAGGAATATGTCCATTTATTCTAGATTCTTCCATTTGTTGGAGTACAACTTTTCATGCAGTTAGCAATGATCTTCTGGAGTTCGGTGGTTTTCATTGTGTATCATCTTTTTTACTTCCAATTGCACTGATTTCTTCTTTTGCTAAGTTCGGCTAAGAATTTATCTTTTTTTTGTTCATTCTCTCAAAGAACTTCTTTGATTCATTATGCTGCATTTTATTTTCAATTTCATTAATGTCCACTCTAATCTTGATCTGAGTTTGGTCTGTTATTTTTCTGGTGTCTTGAGATTCATTGTTAAATTAATTATTTGATCTTGTTCTGTTTTCCTAACATGACCGCAGTGATCTTCCCTCGTAGCCTTTCACTATGTCCTATAGGTTCTGCTATATTGTATTGGCATTGCCTTTTGACTTCAGGAATTGTTTAATTTATTCCTTCATTTTTTTCTGCAACCCATTCACTGACTGTTCAGGACTGTGTTATTAAGTTTCCAGGGAGTTATAAATTTTCTTTGGTTTCATTTTTTGGTCTCTTTTTCAAAGACACTACACCCATTCCGGAGGAGACCTAATCAGTTCATAAATGCACTGGTCCTAAAATCATTACTTTAAAGATTAAAGTTTCAAATGTAAATTTGGGCAGCAAAACAAACATTCAAAGTATAGCAACTGCTTAGTTTATGTTGTATTCCTAATTCATGGATGTAAGAGATCTTTTTATGGATCCTTACTTTTCTAATCCTTAAACCTGCACTGAGACAACTTTACTGATTCTTCACTATTAGCAGGTGTTTGTGACACAGAGATTACATTCGTCTTGGGAGCCTAACACATGCGCATCTCTCATCTTGATCATTTTTACCCCTGCTGTCTTCTGCCCTACCTTCTCTCTCCTTCCTCCTCAGATCCCCTTGCCATTCCTACAGAGTCTATGCCCCTGTTTCTTCATATATCTATTCATTTTGCTCCTTAAATTATTTACATTTTATATCTCTTGTATAAGGAAAAGCATGCAATATTTAAATATTAAATATTTAAATTAAATATTCATTAAATCTGACACTAACAGTATTGACAAATATATAAGGAAATGTATTTAAACCAGGATCACAATAATGAACTGATGACACAAAATTATAGTATTTCTTGAAGTCAAAAGCAGAAAAATTTTGTCTCCCTATTGTTTTAGCTTTACAAAAAGGGGTTTACAGGCCTAAAATAGCTAAGGGAATTTTAATGTTTGTCAAAAGATGATAAACTTTGTATCACAAACATGTTTAGGAAGTTTGCTATGAATGTTTAAAAATAAAGTTTATTAAAATATTAAAAGATGATTCTGCCTTTTAAGTTGTTGCTTTGCCTTATATTCTCTCTGTATAGCTTTACAAGAAGCTCAACGCTCATGTGGCCTTAGTTGGAATGGAAATCTGGACTGATGATGACAAGATAAAGATCAGCCCAAATGCATCCTCTACTCTGGAAAACTTTGCTAGATGGAGGGGCAGTAATCTCCTTAGAAGAAAGCGTCATGATATTGCTCAGCTAATCTCGTATGTACGGATATTCTTCTTTGCATGTTATATAGTGTGTGGCCTAGATTTTCAGAGCCTAAGCAAGGCAAGTTGTATCTCAGTGCATAAATAAAAGGAGGGGGTTTACACACAAGAAATTAAAGTTTTGACAGGCATTCACTAAGATCATATGTTGAATATACTCATAGTTTAGATCCAAGTACTATGTACCCTATTAAGTAAAGCTGACAATTTTGCAATAATTCATAAAAATAAACAGGATTAAAAACACTAATTAAAAATATGATAAAGGCATAAGTGCCTGTCTGGCAAACACTAGGTAGCAAGTTCGATCCCTGGTACCAAAATAAATAAATAAATAAAGATATGATAAAGGAAAATATTTTTCAGTCTATTTACAAGTTGAAACTCTTAAAATTTACCAGGCAAAATAACAAAAAAATACCTATTTTTAAGCATAGTTAGATTCCAGATACACTAAGAGGAACCAAAATACATAACTGCAGAACAAGGAAAGATGTTCCTTTTATAAACGTACTAGCAGGGAGAACAGAAACCACACAAATGTAGAAGTAAGCAAAGTTAACTTTACAATATAAATTTTAATGAGACCATATGTTGTAATTTTTTAAAACGTGGCAACACAAACACAATGCTGTTTTGTGCATATATATATATATATATATATATATATATATATAGAAAGAGAGAGAGAGAGATTATGTAGAGAGAAGGATTTGTCTGGGCCAAAAATCTTATCTTGATAAGGGATACCTTTCAAAATGCAGAATATAATGATTCATAATGATCATGAATTAATACAAAATATTACATGTGATTACATCCAAGTGCCCAAATTTCTAGTGATATGAAAGATCAATAAGAGAACAAATGCTTCATATAATTTCAAAAACTGAAGGGAAACTTTAAGTAGTTTACAGTGTGACTGTCTGCTACCATTTAGAGTTCTGGATGAATCGTCCTCTGTAGAGAATACAGTTTGTAATCAGGCATCTTACTCCAACTCCTTTCTCTCTTGTAGCTCAGAGGCCTTTTCTGGATCCACGGTGGGCCTTGCTTTCCTGTCTTCCATGTGCTCTCCTTATCACTCTGTTGGCATTATTCAGGTGTGTGTGCAGGTGAACAGTGGGGTCTGTAATGCAGAGTTGCCAGATGTTTTCCCACCCCCGCTACCCCCTCCCCCCTCCAGCCTTTGGAAAAGATTATCATTCTTCTTCATTAATCCATTGACATTGTAAATAACATTGATTCAATTGCAAATGTAGAACTGGGCTTTCATTCCAGGATAAATCCAACTTATTGTGTTATATTTGATTCAAATGCTAAGGCACCTTCAAGATTTTGGATGCGAACTCATTAGGGATGTTAGTCTATAGTTGCCTTGAATGTGTGCTAGTTGTTTTAGTTTTTTTTTTTTTTTTTTTTTTTTTATCATAGTTAAATTGTTCACATAAAATAAGTGGCAATATGTTCTAATCCTTTTATTTTCTGGAATATTGGAGTAGAGTGGTCATTATTCCTTCCAAAGTGATGCAATTTGCTGTCAAACATATGTGAAACTGGCGTTTACTTTGTGAAGTGTTTTGATTACCTACTTAATTTCTTTAATAGACTTTTTGAACTCTTCAGATTACTAATTTAAGCAAGCTGTAGTAGGTTGGTCTTTACAGAAAGCTGCTCATCTATTTAAGTTGGCACAAATTTATTGATAATATTCTTATTATTCTTTGAATATGGAATTTGCAAGTAATGTCCTGCCTCTCATTTATATTAACATTGGGTATCCTTTTTGTCATGACCAATTTTGGTAAGAATTTACCTATTTTATTGATCTTAAAGAAACAACTTTTTGTTTTATTGATCCCAACCTTGGTTTCCTTTCCTAAATTTGATTGATTCCTGCTCTTGTGTTGATTATTCCTTTTCTTCTCTTTATACTATACTCAGGTTTTCTTCTTTAATGCAGTAATTTCCTACATATCTTTATTTGTATCCGTGTACATATGTTGACTATATTTTTTGTTAAGTTCAAAATGTTTTCTAGTTTTCCATTTGAGTTCTTCTTTGACTCGTTATTTACAAACGTGGTATTATAGTTTTCACTATTATTATGGGTTAAAGAATAAATTTTATAATTTCAGCATGCTTAATTTTTTGAGATTTGTTCTTAATCAGTGGGCTATTTGAACTTGAAAGGAATGTATTTTCTGCTATTTGTTGAATAGTGCTTCACATTTATTAACTTATAGGGTTGTTCAGCCCTTTTAACCTAGTAAAAAATGAGAGTACTGAAGTACCTAATTGACATTATAAGTTTTCCAGTTTTTTCAATTCAATAATTTTTTGCCTCATGAATTTTGAAGCCGTTCTTACATACATCTGAATTCTCATTTATTCTGGAGTCTACTTTTTCTAATATTAATGTAGTTACTTTAAAATTTTTTGGTCAATTTTTGTCTAATAAATCCTTTTTCTAACTTGGATTTTTAACCTTTGTACCTCGTTGTATTTAGGAAAAGTTTCTGGTTGACAGTAGATAATTGAATTTTTCTTTTTAATTTTATGTGAAAGATTTTTTGCCTTTTATTTAGTATGCTGAAATCATTTACATATGATATAATAGTTGATATTTCTGGACTACAATCAATATCTTGTTAGCTGTCTCCTATTCCCACTAACCTTTTGTTTATTTGCTTTTTTTAAAAATAAATTGAACATTTTAATAATAATTTATTTACCTCAATTTTTAGCTTTTTATCAATAACTTCATTTTATTTTGACAGTTACTGTAGTGTTTATCAAACATTTTGCTTGTTGCTTGGTCTTAAAATAATATTATAATATGTTACATGCCCTATAAAGACTTCAGAAAAGAATATCTTTAATTTTTACTGTCACCCATTGCACTATTGTTACCATGTTTAAATTACATGCTAAAAAGCCACATTTTGTTGACTTCCCAACACTTTTCACTTCTTTATAATGATCTAAATTTCTATCTGGTTTCATATTTTTTATTTCCACATGAACTTTCAAAAAATGTTTCCTGTAATACAGTGAATTCCATCAGTCTCATTTGCCTGAGACATACTTGTCTGGGTTTCATTTAAAATATCTATTTCACAGAGTCTTTGGATTCCTGAAACTCCAACTTACTAGTGGAGTCAAAAGCAGTTTTAATTGTTTAGTGAAGGAATACTGCTCGTTCCGGCTTTTTTTTTTTTTTTTTTCAGTCCTACACATTTGTTTTACTTCTCAAAGAGGGTAAGATTAAACATATCAAAACAGAACATAGCAGTTAAAAAAACAATTTAAAGAAATACAGATTTCGTAGCAAGCCCACTGGAGATCTTCATTGTCTATCTAACTGTCTCTAGTTTCTTACAAATAGTTGTCCCCATCTTCACCCACCTTATATACTTATTGTATATTATAGAACTAATCAAATCATTGGACTCGTTCCGGCTTTTTGAAACCATGTTACAAGTAGAACCAATTATTTTGGTAAATGGAAGTGTGGATTTGTAATAGGCTTCATGGGATATACAGAAGTAAAATATATATCCTTTCATTTGGAAGACATTGCTGTAAAACTGGAGAAGAAAATGGCCTGATATATAGTGAGATGGGCATTTGATGCCAAAGGGGTGTGTGAGGGCACTAAAATTGAATTCCATCTTTCTCTATGATACTTGATAATAGAAAGCGGGTGTAATTATAAAAAACACACCTTCTGAGCTACACTCCCACTTTAACTAGAGACCCTCTTTCTGCATTCTCATCCTTAGGACCACAGTAGCAATCATCTAAGAGTTGCAGGGACAATGGCTCACGAGATGGGCCACAATCTTGGAATGATTCATGACTCTGTAAATTGCGAGTGCCCTTCCACGGTCTGCGTGATGAAGAAAACCATAAGGTAAAACTCCTCGTGTAAATGCCGCACGTACCTTCTTTTGTTATATTCTGGGCTATACTAATCTGTAGGTCACCTTTGAAAACATGCTCATGTTTTTAAATTCAGTAATTTAATAACTGAGTTACTCATTAGCATATTATATCTCGCTGCTTTTCCATTGATCTACATAGAATGTTTTGTCTTAACTAAGACACAGTTTAAACCTCTTAGACCTTTAGAGGCCGCTCATCGATTTTTATCTTCACCTACACAAGATGCTGCTTCAGAAAACATTAACATTCATCAAGTTTTTCCATGAATTCAGAGGGGTAGTGGTAGGGAACAAGTTCTTGTTGAAAAATGGAATTCAAAAAAGGAACTTCTCACAGGAAGTTGAAGACAGTATGTAAAAAAGTGATGACCTATGCTTGCCTTGCCTAGGACAATATTTCTAGGAAATCATACTCTTAAAGATTTCACAGTTAGGGGCTGGAGATTTAGCTCAGCGGCATAAGCGCCTGCCTTACAAGCAGGCAGTCGTGAGTTCGATCCCTGGTACCGATAAAAAGGAAAAAGACAAAAACAAAAAAGATTTCACAGTTTCCTCTATATATTCATTTCCTCTTTTTTATTCTTGTCCCCAGCCCAGTTAAGCCTGACTGTCCCGTACCTCTTCGCAAAACAGGGCATGGGTGTGGCAGTCACATACAGCTTATGCCTTCTCTCTCAGGTGGTATCCAGATTGAAAGCTCCTCTGTGTCAGTGGGATGAAGACAATGTCAAATTGAAATTAGTATAAGAGAAAGTGAACTCTAAGATGTATGAATATATGATTTTACTACCTAGGCTGAACAACATTATCTGGATAAACCAGAAGCATTTTTGTTTTAGTGAAACTGTTCCAGATGTCACATTTTGAGATATGTCTATGTTTTCTTATTGAACTGGATGTGTTTTTGTTAAATCACGTTGGATAAATTCAGACATACAAATGAGCTCATGATTTAGCAAGTCATCAGAGGAACAAACTCACTTATTTTTGAACAAGCTGTAGGTGTAACTATCCTCATTGTTAGATATGGCTTTCTACATACTAGGAATGGTGGTATTCCATTTTCTTTTTCTTGTCTTCCAGTTTCTATATACCCACAGACTTCAGTTCCTGTAGCCGTGCCAACTATGATAGATTCCTTGAAGATAAATTATCAGATTGCCTCTTTAATGTTCCACTGCCTAAAGACATCATATCCACCCCATTCTGTGGGAACCAGTTGGTAGAAATGGGAGAAGACTGTGATTGCGGGACCCCCGAGGTACTAACAAACCCTTTTAAAAAATAATTTAGTTTATTTTCCAGTTGCTAAGAAGATGAAGTAAAAAATATATGGTCCACTCCAAAATTATATTTTTTGTATAATTTTGGAGATGGTCATTGATGGGGGGGGTATTTGTCAAACAAGTCTTTCTGATATAGAGCCTGTATTGCTTAATAGAGTTCCTTAATTTCTTTCTCAGGGTTTCTTCTTATACTTTAAAACTACACTTTGTTACCTTGGGATTTGTGCCCCATCCCTACCATTCTAGCTGATGAACTTCCAGGTTCTTATGTGACTATTATGACTCTGAGTACCACTTAGGTGAACCCAGTGACAATGCCGAGAGGGGTTTGCTCAGGCTCACAGAGAGCTCAGCGGCAGAGCCAAGATCTGGGTTCAGCGTTTCTGTGTTTGGAGCCCAGCAGTGGCCATCGCAGGGAGCTGCTGCGTCCTGGTCTGTCCTGTTTCTGGATGTGGTAGCAGTTGCCACAGGCTTTACTTGCCCTGGTCACAGGGATGCCATGATTGTGAATAGGCCTCTCCTGTCTCCTATTAACACTTACTATGAGTAATGTGCCAAGGCCTCAGGGCTGGCTTTTCGGTGACTTCTATTTTTGGGAATTGAACTCAGGAGCTCACGCTTGCCATGCAGACACGTATGCCGCTGAGCTGGTCCCATTGCAGTAACTTTAAAATAGGATTATAAATTAATTCATTCGCTGAGCAAGGGTAATGTTTCTCAGGTTTTTACCTGAACTAAGTGCTAGATTTCTACCCATAAAATATTGTAACTGTAAGGGCACCATTCCTCCGTAAATCTGGACAGTTGTAAGGAAAGTCATTGGAGGCAGGAGCTTTTTGAGCTCCTCACACAGATAGTTTTCTGGTTCCTTGCAAACGAGGTGAGAAGACAAAGACAAAGCAAAATGTTTTCAATAGAGTTGAATTAAATGTCAGAACTGGCTAAAGTAACACACTTTCAGCTTTCAGTATGATTTACTGCTGAGAAAGTCTATAACTATTGAGTTGAATCAGTTATGTTTTGGAACCACTCAAATGCAATTAATTTAAAACTACCCTTTTCCTTTTCTTTCCCTCATAATTTACCCAATAATAGCTCTTTCTTGAGTACTTATGTGGGAACTGGAGGAAAGATATTAGAAAAAGCATTTAAATTTGAAAAGATGTAAGTAGAATTAGATAAACACAAATAAGAAGTTGCTCCAGAGTCTGTTTTTATATCATTTTTATTATTCACCTTGTTATGCATGTCTATTTCCCTAAAAATCACTTTTAGTTTCTTCCAAAGAAATATCTATGTGATAAATAAGTTATGTTATGAATTGTACAGAAATAGGACCAAAATACGGACCCATGATATTCATTGGTTTTTGGTATTTCTTAGGAATGTACCAACATTTGCTGTGATGCTAGCACATGTAAAATCAAAGCAGGTTTTCACTGTGCATCAGGGGAATGCTGTGAAAAATGCGAGGTAAGATTAATCCACTCAACTTTAATAATTATAACCATTTTGATACTAATAGTGACTGTATTAGATGACACAGACAAAGCTGTATTTTTTATAATATAACAACACTTAAAGACTTACTGTGTGGGTTCTTTAAATACACCTATTTAATCTCTCAATAACACTATGAGGCATATATTACCTCATTTTACTTTTATGGGGAAAGGAGACTTAGAGTAGAACATGTATGCATAAAATGGCCACTATTTGTAAACATCTGAGATGGTCCTAGAGCATACTATGGCAAAGGAAATAAACCGGGTATAGAAAGACAAATCCTGCATGATCTCTTATATACGTGGACTCTAAAAATGTTATGCACCTAGACAGACCCAGAGTAAAACAGTGCTTACCAAGCACAAAGAGGTATTGGTTAAGGGCACAAAGTTGTGATTATACCTAATGAATTAAGTTTGAGATCTAATAAACAGCATGGTTATAGGTAATGATACTGTATAATACGCCAATTTTGACTCACAGCATCAGAGGTTTCAGTCCATGGTTCAAAGTAATCATTTTACTTTGTATATATGCAAATAGATATCATGTTTTATATATTCACTATACACAATTAAGTTTTTAAAAAACAAATGACACAGTCACTGTCTGGTGGCATGTCTGCTTACATAGCTAGAAAATGTATGTTTCCTCAAATTTGGATAAATGGAATAAATCACTTTCACTAAAATTTCTTTGATAAAATAAGATTTGCAGTAACAGGTTGCAACGAACTTAGTCTATCAAATGAATATCTCATTACTTTTCCTTCCTGATGAAGCATTCCATTGCAAGAAGTGAATTGAAAAGAAACATCTGATGCTTGGGAAAGTCTGATGCCATTTTACTAATCTGGTGCTTTTAAAACAGTTGTCTTTAATACACAAGACCCACTACACCAAAGAGCTTTGAAATTGCAGATACAAACCTTGAAAAGCTTGACAAGGATTCAGTCAACAAAGGAAGAAATAACTTTCTTCTCTGCATCTGTGATGTATCTTGGTTTTCTTCTGAAGATTTCTGTACTAGGTTTTTTTATGTGCATAATACACAATCAAAATATTGATTGCTTAAAGACTTCAGGTGATGACCAACATCCACAAAAGTGATATAACAAAAGATATCTTATATATAATGCAAAAAGTTATACTTACAGTTGTATGCCCTAAAAGGTCAAATAGGAAAGGTTACATGTGTTAATGTGAATTATTTGGATAAAGTGTATATGGGGGGGGGGCAGGATAAAAACCTTCTCTCTGTTTTCTGCAGTTGAAAAAGCCTGGAGTGGTGTGCAGAGCAGCAAAACATGAGTGTGATCTGCCAGAAATGTGTGATGGGAAATCTAATAAGTGCCCTGATGACAGATTCAGAGCCAATGGCTTCCCTTGTCAGAATGGAAAGGGCTACTGCTCCATGGGGAGGTGCCCCACCCTGGAAGAGCAGTGCACAGACATGTGGGGCCCAGGTAGGTGATGAACTCTTCTGTCCATGTACTTGCAGAGACCATTCGGGTGACAGTATTTAATCATAACCAAAGGACTCTATCCGCTGCGCTTAGAATTTGTATCACTACTCAGAATCCTGAGTGCATTTTAATACTAAAAGATTACAGTTGTTAGATGTACCTAACAAACATGAGAGTGGATCAGTCAACTTTTAATTTCAGATTAGCAACAACTTTTTGTTTTAGCAGCAGTATGTCCCATGCGATACTTGAGATATATTTTTAAAAACTGTTATTTAAACTTCAATTCAAAAAGGATTCATTGTGTATTATGAACCCTAAGATTCTCTTCAGACAATGGAAGTCTGCATATGTGCAGATGTGGGTGTGAGTGAGTGTGTATGCACACTCATATGTATGTATGTTTGTGGCAGGCGTGCTGGAGAATGGCCAGGAAGTAGCAAGGGAGGGAAGGGAAGAAAAAAAGAAAGACCTAGAAAATGCAACAGAGCAATGAGAGTACATGAGAACTCTTAAGTGAATTTCAAAGACTTTTCTCTCAAAGACGATGAAAAAAACATAAAACTGCAATTTAAAGATCTCCAAAAACCTTAACCAAAAATTAAATTTCTACTAAGTAACTTCATTAGAAAGGCAATTTTGAATGGCATATGTGCAATTATTTATATGTAAAATCCAAACAAAGTTGAACTTGCAGAAAGAGAGTAAATAGGTGGTTACCAGGAATTGGGGTGAGGAGGGGGGTAGTAAAGATTTAAAAATTCTGAGAATAAAGAAAGGTAATAAAAAAAAAACCAAATATTTGAACCTCTTGAATACTGTGTGTGTTGTATCCAAATATTTAATTACCATAACCTTTCCCACCACATTTTGAATTCCTGCTTAAATAGCTCAGGGAATATTTATTGGAGTAGGCAAAGAGATGAAAAGTTCCTACAAATAATTGAACAGGATCATTATATAACTCCTGAAAATACACTTAAATTAAAATGGAGAAATGAAATGTTTAAAATCGCAGACACACAAAACACTCAGAAAACAAGAAACATGGAGGTCTTATTAAAAAATCTCTAGATAAAACCCTCCATGTTCAGCAAGAGGAGTCTAAGGCAATTTGAGGAGCAAAACTAAAACAGCGCCTAAGTGTGCCAATATGTTAGAATCTGGCTGAAATCCTGCTTATACTTCCTGGAGGTGGGTGTGCTGAATTAAAGCTGGAAATAAGATTAGTTTTGCTGGATAACAACCTTGTGCTTCCTTGACTGACTTGTTTATATGGGAAAAGTCTGGGGAAAGAAAATCTTCAGCACAGAAGTGAAGTTGATAGTTCTGTAGGGCAGGCAGGTTTCTGGCAATAAGGCTTTCTGTTACTTGTCTACATTACAAGACTATCAGCTTCCTGGAACAAGACCACAGTTCCACTACCTCTTAGCACAGTGCCTGACTTTAGTAAATGTTCAAAATTATCTATAAAATTAATATTGAACACATTCATCTTATGTTGGGACTGAAAAGAGCTTTTAAATTTTACACACAAAGGCAGCTATTATAAAATATTAGGGAACTAGATTTGTCTAAAATCCAAATTTTATAATTCATAAAAGATCACTTCTATTTGAAGGGGATCTGACAACTTTTTGCACATATCAATATGCATAATAAAAAGTTACTGTTTTGAACATTAAATTATTTCTACAAATCAACTGGAATTCCAAGTGCTGAAAATGTAGTAAGATATTAATAGGCAATTATTTATAATGAACAAATCCAAATGTCCAATAAAATTTAAACTCAATTTAATCGAGTAGCAGGATAATAAATATGAAAAAAAATAGTTTTCTATATCTGTGAGTTTGCAAAGACTTGTTCCAAGTGTTATGTTGAGTTTTGGTACAGACATGACCATGCAGCTTCATGCCTTGCTGATAAAAACATAGATAAGCACAATCTTTACCGAAAAAATTGAAAGACAGATACATAGTGTCATCTTCGCCCTAGAAATTGTGTCCAGAATTATTTAGTGATGAGAATTATTCTGTAGCACCTTTTTTTAAATGGTAGTGAGTTTGGTTTTATCATCTCTGCTGCGACTTAACATGACTTTCAGGTTTGTTTGTGATAAATAGACTGATAAAAGGTTGGCTGAGATTTCTCAACCACCAGGCACTGTTCTCAGTGGCTCACATGTGTTAATTCATGTAATTCTCTCATCCACTTTATGAGAGAGGCACCGTTGTACATATCCCTCATTTTCCAATGAGGAACAGTGGTACCGAGCTGGAGGTGAAGACACCTACCAGGGTGCACATGGTTGCTCAGCCTTGCTTAAAGCCTTAGCTCTTAACTTCTGTGTTTTGGATCCTTCTGATGGAATGTGAGAAAGATTTCTTGAGAAATAAAATGTGTGATGTTTATCATCGTTCATGGCACACAGTAGGAGTTAAAAATGCAGTGCAACAGCTCTTACCAACAGGATAGAATTTGAATAACAATGTTTACACACTCTTGACATAGTGACCACCTTTTCCAGTTGAGTCTTCATAGTTGGATGCATTTTTAACTTTCATCAAATCATGCTTCCAAATGTTTAGGATACCTTTACCTACTAGTACAAGAGTTAGAAGGTTATTTCAAATTCTAGTCACTTCTTCTGATAGCAAATCATTGCATCTTGTATTGCTGAGAATATTCAGTGGAATTATGTCACAATAGTACAGGTTGAACATCTCCAATCAAAAAATCTCAAATGCAAAGTCCTCCTAGATCCAAAGTTATTTTGAGCACTGATGTGGTTCACAAGTGGAAAACACCACACCTGACCTCCTGTGTGGAGTTAGAGTCAAAATTCAGGAACACTAAAAATATTAAATAAAGTTGTCTTATGTGTAGGTTATATTTAGAACATAAATTAATTTCATGTTTAGATGTATATCTCTAAGAGGTCTCATTATATATAAGCAAGAATTCTAAAATTTCAACACTGAAATCTAAGTAGTTCTGTTCTACAGATTTTGTGTAAGGGATACTCAGTCTGTACTTTTTATGCTAAACCTTTGCAGTATTAATTTTTATCTCTTTTATTTTCACATGTGCTCCTACAATTCTTCCCTGGTCCAGGAACCAAGGTTGCAAATAGGTCATGTTACAACAGGAATCAAGGAGGGTCAAAGTATGGGTACTGCCACCTGGTGAATGGCACCTACATTCCCTGCAAAGCGAAGTAAGTGGTTTTATTGTTTGAATCTCCCTGCTCCACAGACTAAGGCAATGGCTCATTTCTAGGCTGGTTTATTCCAGTTGTAAGGGAAGTGAGTTTGGGCTTCATTCATTTGACATACATTCACTGAATGATTATAGTATGTGTCATCATTTGAACAAGGTTCTGAGTCTGAAAACACCAATGGCGTAAGTCTTTTGCCAAGTCTCTCAGAGTGGGTGCCACAGGTGGCATCAAGTACATGACAGCCTAGAAAAAAAGTTATCAAATGAACTCAAGATTTTTCTCCTCTGTTCTTTCTAATTCACAATTTTAAGATGAAATTAAAAATTCACGTTACAGGCAACTAAATTCCTCATATCTCTCTCACATTTTATATATGCACAGCAATTTAAAACAACAGATTGAACAAGATTAGGGTTTCCTAAAGTTTGCCATTGATCACTGACGTTGCTGGATGAAAAATATCACCAAACAAACTATAGTCTGAATGTAGAGCCCTCTTGAAAAGAAATCTGGGCCTCAAGGAAAAATCTTCTTGTGTGATTTCCCTGCTACAGGACCTCAGGGCAAATTGGAAAAGGGGTGAAAGTCATGGAAAAGGCACTATGTGTGGGCCAGAAGTGACAGTGTTGGTGGTCGGTGGCCAGAGAGCAGAGTAGCTCCGCTTTTCACCTGCAGCCTACACACAAGCTGTTGTCATGCACAACTGCTTGTATGAACAAGGACAATGTTGAACAAGAAGACCATTTCTGAAACAAGACACTCAAATGTCTCACTCACCCCGCTGCCTGGGCACCCCCTACTTCTTAGTAGTCACTGGCTGTCGTGAGAGTCAGCCTGAAATGTTCAGTACTCACCGTTTGTTCTTTATGGTTTTAACCAAGAGATACAAGAATGCACCCTCTCAAGTTTGCAGAGAATGTCTGGCTTCTTCCACTTCTCACTTATACTCTCTACAGTCACCAAAGACATCAAGAAAATGTGATTCCACCCATCTAAGTCACTTCGTCATTGCTGCAACATAACAGCATCAACACTTATAACTTATGGGAAGGACGGCTCAGTCTGCAGAGGTTTCTATCCATAGTCAGCTGCTTTCCAAGCAGAAACAGAGGGGCCTGGCAGAGGACAGTTGCTCATATCACCACAGGCAGGAGACAGAGAGAGAAGGGAGGAGGCAGGGAGGGAGACCTATCTTTCCAGGCACACCGCCACTGACCTGGCTCTTGTGGCCAGGCGCCACCTCCTACCAGTATGTTTACCTTTGAAAGTATCTATGGATGAATCCACTGATGGTTATAGCACCTTGCAATTCAATCACCTCCTAAAAGTCCCACCTCGGAACACCTGAGGCCTTTGAGGGACATTCTAAATGAAACCATAGCATTTTCACTTTCCAAACACTTTTCTAAAGCTCATTTCTGATTTATTCATCAAGCAACTGAATCCAGTTGCCTTGTGTTTGACTTTGTGCACATTTGTTGATTGTAAATGAGGGATTTTACTGAGTTTAGGGCAGTCTAATCTGCAGCTATAGGGGGTCAATTTTGGTAATCAGAGTTAAGGACTTGGATCAGGGAAGGCTTAACTTTGTATAGACCAAACCATAGTTGATAGTTATGGTTTTTATGTGTTAGAATTATTCTGCTGAATGTCTTAAAAACGAGCATGCAACTTTTCTAAGATTACTTTGACAAGTCAGAAACTTAGTCTTCATGAATATTCTGACTCCATAATATATATGAGCTCCATTCCTGAGAGTTTGTCTTGGTCTTTGAAAGCTTTGGCTCCAGCCATCACACTGCAATCCGCAAAGAGGAGAAAAGACTGAGGAAGAGGACATAACCCCTTAGTCACAGCTACCTTCTAGAGCCTTCTACTTTTAAGATTTTTCTTTCCCACTGACCAGAATTTATGAAAATGGTAAAAATTACGGGACAGAATCTGGAAAATGTCTTTCTTTGAGCACCAACATATTTTGTTGATGTTCCAGTGTGCTGCTATTGTGGGATTAGACAAAATGAATATAGAGTACAAAATACACATTTCCACTATAGAAAGAATTATGCATTATGTATTGATAACCCTGGAGCTGATTTGCATTTATATGAAATGTCAATAAATTCTGTTTTATCTTCTCAGAGATGTCATGTGCGGGAAGTTGTTCTGTCAAGGTGGGTCAGGTGACTTGCACTGGAAAGGATTTACCGTATCTTTCCTGAAGTGTAAACTATTTGATCCTGAAGACAAAAGTCAAGGAGTGGACATGGTGGCTGATGGAACCAAGTGTGGGCACAACAAGGTGAGTTGCAATTGTGACTTGCACTCAGCGTGGTAGTTTTTTGTTTGGCTTTTGTTTTGGTGTTTTGCTTCTGTTATTCACTTGTGGCTTTGTTTACCACTTACTGGGTTCATCATACATTGACACAACAGGTAGGGATTTGCATGTGGAGCACTGTGAACAATTTAAGATACATTCTACTAGATACCAACAACAAAGACTGTCATTAATGTTTTCAAATACTAGGCTTAAAAGTAGAAATAATGATTCATCTAGATATGATTTCAAAAAAAGTGTGATTTACTAGAAATGCCTTGCCATGAGATATGCAGCTTCAGTTCATGAGTTTGTACATACATAAAATATAAAAACCCACAATTTCAGGCACCAGTGCCACCTTGGTCAGGGACAATACGTGAGCTTTGATGATGAGATTCAACTCCTATAGGAGATTAAACTTGCATTATTGGTTGACTGAGATATCTGCATGACTCAGAATCTACCCTGATTTCCTGTTCAAGCCAATCCTGAAAATATTATCATATTATAGAATTTATTTGACTGTTTAAATGTAAATTCATCCACAAACAGGTCTAAACTTCTCTTTATGGTTAGGTGTTTGTATTGCTCATGACTAATTGGAAGTAATTATAAAAATGTTAATGAAATCGATATGACCCCTGATGCCAAGAATATAAATTTAGAAAACTTTTAAATTCCACTGATTTTAAATTAAAATTTTAATTCCTTACGGTAAGAAGTACTCACAGTATTTAGCTTTCCTCCCTCCTACCAGTCCTGAAATATGCACGATCATCAAGGGCAAGAATATCATGTAAAACAGAAAAGGTCCTTACTGGAAACTTCCAGTTTTTACATACCGATGCCTCTCTGGCATCTAGTGGCAGTGTAGTAAAAGCACTAAGACATCCCCACAGGGCCTGGCATGCGTTGTACAGGGAGGAGGAATACTTGAACTAAGGCAGAATTTAGATATTCCTAACTCCCCTGGCACCAGGATTATTTTTTTTTTTTATTATTTCTCATCTCCTCTTACTAGTCATTGCTTCTGAGTTATAGATTAGTGTGGACTTTTAAAGAATAAGTGTTCAGATCAAATCCATTGCTCTTTTGCGATTGGTTTAACTAAGTGAATACAGTGAGCAACGGAGGAGTTCATCTCCATTTGCCCTCCCACGCACCTGCCCTCACTGCATTTACACAGTAAAGAGGATCTTGTGTCTTTGCTTTCTCCCACAGTAATTACATGCTCTTCCCATTTGCCTCGACTTTCTCATCTTCACCTAGGTAAGAGGTCATTCCAAAGGCTCAGAGGTCCTTTTCAGCACTTAGTTGCCTAACGTTACTTCTACCAGTCACTCTGCTCCCCGTTTTTTCTTTTAAATTATGAATCCCCCTCCAGACTTCATCATCAGTATATAGTTGGGTTACATCTGCTGCACAGCAGTAACTGTTCACATTGTCAGAACGCTTTAGGTTGTGGAGGAAGAAAAAACAAACTAAAATTCACTTATGTAGTTAGGACATTCATCAGTTCACGCAGTGCTGAGTCCGGAGGTGAAGGAATGGTGGGTCATTGATTCAGTGGTACAATGTCACCATCAAGGCTCCTTTGCTCCTGTCTCCTGCCATCTCCAGAAGGCTGCTTGGTGCTTCAGGCTGCTGCCTGCACTGCTGTCCTCTCCAATGCAGAGGTGGAAAACGCGAGATTGTCTTATGTGCATCAGGAGGGAAAACATCTTTCTTAGAAGCTTTTTTTCGCAGATTTGACATCACTTATTATTGTTCAGAATTTTATCACCTACCCCTCCATTCCTAACCCAATACCTGACCAAGGAGGAGGAACAGTGATGATCAACCTATAGCCATTAACATTCACACTCAGACCTGGGGAAGCCCTCACTCTGCATAGCAAGCACATAAGAACCTGAAATACTAATTAATACTCCTATTAATCAGATATCTGAGTCAAACACCACCTTATTCCAGGCATATGAAACATTTACAATAGGAACTGTAGCTTCGGTATGTTTGGCTTGATAATGTTGACATTTTCATCTTTGCTTTTAACTGTAGGACACTTTATTCAAACAGATGTGTAGGAGAGAGTCCAAATTCACAGAATAAATGAAAGCAGAGCAGCTTTAGAGAAAGTGGGCCACAAACTCCACACCTGCACCTTCTTCCTGCCTTCTGTGGAGCATCTGTACAGTTATGTTTGTCTGTATTCGTAGCTCTAATGGTCTTTGGTAAATACCTGTTACATGTTTACAAACTGTCAAACCTCGTATGTTTCGACACTCCAACATGGCTGTGAGAGCCACTCTGATGAGAAGAGAAAAAGGGAAATGCTGTTCCCTTCATGTCAGTGACACTTACTGTAATACCACATGTGGTGTGACAGCAGCACTTCTTTTCCCTTATAAGGACACTTGTTATTATGTGAAAACCTTAGCTCAGTGGTCAGTAAGAATATTAAGTATGAGCTGAAGCTGTTATTTAATGGAAAGGCCCAGCAGGAAACAAAAGAAAGAAATTTCCTTTAAAGAGGACTCTCTAAACATTTTCTTATCAAAATTATTAGATGTGATCGTCACATTTCTACAAAATATTGTGACTTCCTGATGAAGAGGTGAGCTCCAGGACAGTAATTTTGACTGGCTGTGTAACCCTAAATTCTAAGCAGTTAAGAATTTCAGCTCTGAAGCTGACAGGCATTAACCTCAGCCTCCTGTGTTGTCGGTCACTTGCAGGTGTGCATTGATGCAGAATGTGTGGATATGCAGAAGATCTACAAGTCAGCCAATTGCTCCGCTAAGTGCAAAGGACATGCTGTAAGTTTTGCAGATTCATGTTCTTCCGCTGGCCGAATCTTAGGTAATTTTAGGTTAGTTGTGATAAAGCTGAAGCAGAGGTTTCAGCTTTCAGTGCTTACAGTCATTCATGTTATTTGACCGCTCAATAACGTAGCATGCCGGAAATCTCTTGAGAACCCAGTACTGAAGCCCCTAGATCCAGACATCGCGCTAAGTAGAGGAGGCTGGTGGTGTACGGGGGCGTTTTTGATTCTGGTTGGCCTTTGGCCGAGTGGGGCTCTGTGGTCAGTGTCACGGGAGACTCACAGGATTGCGGCTCCTCTAGGTGTGTGACCACGAGCTCCAGTGTCAGTGTAAAGAAGGATGGGCCCCTCCCGACTGCGAGGATTCCTCCACGGTCTTCCGTAGGTAACACTCCTCATCCAGAGAACCTGGGGCTCCTCTTCCAAACTCTTCCTATGCATCGCATACAATTTCATTACCGCTTTTTCTCTTATCTTGGAACCCCTGTTTTCTAGCTATCGATTCCCCAATATTCATTCTCAACATACCGCTACCAACTTTTTAATCGTATTTCCATACATCTATGTTTTATTCTACACAAAATATAGCTTCACATTTTATATTTGTAATGTTCTCTTAATTCCCCAGATTTTCATGTTCTATGGTTGTTCTATTTTCATAGCAGCATTGACTTCATGGAAAGATAAACTAACTTCATACAAATCTCCAGCATGATTTAGATGATTTTGTAGTTTGGTTCTGCTCTTGGACTGTCCTGTTCCTTTACTGAGCTGTCTATGTGTCTATGTGTCTATGCTAGCTTTCTTCAGAATGTGGGATTCTAGCTGAAGGAGGGATTAGGCTGGCTTGCATTGGCTTACATGGGTTTCTGTGTATGTGTGTGTGTGTGTGTGAGTGTGTGTGCATTTGCATGTGTGTGTGTCTGTGTGTGCATTTGCATGTGTGTGTGTCTGTGTGTGCATTTGCATGTGTGTGTGTCTGTGTGTGCATTTGCATGTGTGTGTGTCTGTGTGTGCATTTGCATGTGTGTTTGTGTGTGTGTGTGTGTGTGTGTGTGTGTGTGTGTGTGTGTGTGTGTGTGCTTCTTATACTCACTGACACCTCTCTTGGTGGGGACCCGGTTGTCAGTTTCCTCCATAGGTAGCTCAGTCTCCCCATAGGCTGGAAGGGTGAGAATGAGCTAGAGTGGGGACACTCCCCTGCAGTGCCCTGATGGGGAGTACTTTACCCTGAAGAGAGGCCTTTCTTGTATTTCTCTCCTTGTATTTTTCCTCTCTGTCTGATCCAGGATGCTTTGTTTGAATCAGCTCCTCTCCTGCTCCCCAGGCTCCTGTACACCCCATTGCCTCTGGAGAACTATTCTCCAGGCTTTGTCCAAACTTGCTTTCTATACAGCGGGGATCAGCATGGACATGAGAACAGGGTGTGTCTGAATGGGTGATCTGTCCTCAATGCAGGTTCTTTGTTAGGTGTTTCCAACAATAATAGCATTTGTTTCCATTATGCAAGCTACAATTTCTGCCTACTCCAAATTCTTTTTGGAGGTTCTAAAAATTCTTTATTTTTTATAGGAATCTTATTCACATACAGATGATTTCAGATTTATCATGGGTAAGGTAGGCAGATATGACATAATCAAATTCTTTAGATAGAAAATTCTTTAAACCAGGCTGGGGGACCGGGTCTGTAATACCAGCACTTAGGAGGCTGAGGTGGGAAAATCACTGTGAGTTCAAGTCCAGCTTGAGCTACAAAGTGAGTACAAGACTAGCCTGAACTGCATAGTGAAACTCTGTTTCAAAAAGATAAAAAAGAAAACAAATAAAAAAACTCTTTAATGGTTTCAACATTTACTAAAAATCATTTTAAATTATTTTAAAGTGACTTACCTCTTCTTTCTAGTTTTACATTATAGGAAAAGCATGTATGTACTGATTTGGTTTTATTTTTCCTACATGCAACTGATACATAGAAACATAATATCATACTTAGCAGTACTGCCCATGTGATGGTTTGATACATGGCTATGTAGTCTTTAAAGTGGGCTGACCATACCTACCTCCTTTATCTTAAAAACATTCCTCTAGCATTTTGAGATGCATGTTACTGTTGTCTGTAGTTACACACTGCACGGTTAGCAGCGGGAGCAGGCTGCCGCCTGCCTGCACCCTCCGTACCTGCACATCAGCCTCTCCCCAGCCTGCTCTCCTCCTCCTGACCAGAGGCTCAGGTAACCCCAATTCTTCCACTACTGTATATTTCTCCACCTGCTTGGAAATGGGAGCGTTTTCTAGTTACTGTTAAACTCACATTTAGCATAATTACATAGTGTTTGGAGAATACATTGGTGTGGAGAATATGTTGAAATTCATTGAGACTTATTTATGGCTCAGCACTGCCCATATTTTTAAGTATTCTCCTTTGAATAAAACATTGTGTATGCCATGGGCCGTGTTTTCTGTGTGCACGTATATTAATCTGTACTGCTATTTTTTCACTTTTTATTTTTATTTCTACATGTTTCCACTAAGATGTACATAACACATCTGAATTCTTTTCTCATCTTTTTCCCCCACTCTCCTTTCCCCTTCTCTTTGTTCTTTTTTTCCATTATCTTTTATTTTGCTCCTTAGTTATATTTCGAGTTTCCCATTTAAGAGAAACAATGCAATATTTAAGCTTGTATGCCTGATTTATTTCATTTAACATTATAGTCAGACGTATTTTTATTGTTTTACCAGTTACCTAGGCAGAACTGTTAAAATCTACGTGTAAAATTCCCCACTGTAACTGTGATTTGACTATTACTTCTTCTGGGCCTATTAATGCAAATATATTTTGGCACCAATCTATTATCTTCTAACAATTGTAGAATTACTGTGCCTTCCCTGTGTATTAACACTTTCATAACTATGAATTTATTTTGTGTCTCTAGGGATGGCTTCAGCTACTGAAGAATCAGATACCTGTACTGTACTTTTGGCATGTCTGTATTTGTGTAACATTTCGCCACATTTTTGCTTTCACCTTTTTTGAATTCTCTTTAAGTTTGTCACTTTTTAAAAGTGCATTTTGTGTAGTTCTAGTCTCACTTTATTTTATTTTATGTTATTTTATTGTATTTTAGGTGCCTGGAATTGAACTCAGGACCTTGCCCTTGCCAGGCAGGCACTTGCGTTGCTGAGCTATATTTTTGGCCTCTAATCTCATTTTAGCCTCATCTTTGTGTTTTTATTTTGAAAAAATTGAACTGAAATTCATTCAAGTGTAATTACTGATGTACTTACATAAATCTATTTGGTTATATTCCTTCTCTATTGTTTCTTGCTTTCAGCTAGACTCATTGACCTTTTTTTTTTTTTTAACTTTTTGAGACAGGGCCTTGCTGTACAATTAAGGTTGGCATTGAGTTCACTTTGTAACTCAAGGCTGGTCTCAAATATGCAGCAATCCTCCTGCCTCAGCCTCCCAAATGCTGAAATTATAGGCGTGCACCACCATTCCTGGGTTTATTGACCATTTTAATGACCATTTTTGTTCTTGTTAACTTGAAGATTTCTATCTTTCATATCCTTTTAGTGGTTTTTGTAAAAATGTCTACTTTTTCCTTATTGCTTTTTTTAAAAACATAGGTTTTAATTTTTAAAGCAGTTTTAAGTCACAGCAAAATTGAGCAGAAAGTGCAGAGTTCCCACAAACCCTGCTTCAGGAGGGACAGGGCCTCTAGAGGACAGACAACCCACCCCAAGGGCTGCATTGGTCCCGTGATGAGTGAACCCACATTGACACAGACACTTGACATTAGGGTTCATTCTTGGTTCATTGGCTTTTCATTCCTTCCTGCATTTCTGTGCTTCTTTCTAGAATAATTTTCCTTTCTGTTTTTCTGGGATTTTTGGTTCCTGCCTTAATCTTTACTAATCGATACAAATAAATTTTTCCTTATTTGAATAAAAAGTATTTCCATGTTTTTAGGAAGCTTTCTGTTTGGCAACATCTCTGTACTGTTTATGGGTAAAAGACTGACCCAAATTTAGGCTGCTCTTACTAGAAATAGAAGAGGCTAAAGTTACCCTGCAACTGTTTTCATCTTAAACCACAAACCAACCTCTTGTTACAATTTTATTTGTCCTAAGGCTGAACTTTATCTGTAGACCATGTTCCTTCAGATTAGGAGTATTAGGGAAGCATACCGATCTCCACTTCTTTTCCTCTGATATTGTGTTATGAAAAGAGAATTACAATTCTGGTTTTTGTGTAAGTATCTATTTTTCACTCTGAAGGGATCTGCATTATATCTGGGATAATGTCTCTGAGCTTTGTTTTCTGTTGATTTTATTGAAAAATGATTTTTACAGAAGATGCAGTAAGTTGAACTGACATCATCTTACCTAGAATTCTGCCTCTGAGCTGTCTGCTCCGTCTGCATCATGTGTGCTCCCCCTTGTGAATATTTCTTGCAACTGTACCTCAATTAATCTTGCTTTACCAATGTCTGTAATGAGAGTAATAACTGGATTGCTCTTCAGACTTCTACCTCTTCATCTCTTATGGTTTCAGATCATTACAAAAGAAATGAATACTTGAGAAAGCAAAAGATTGAAGTTATATCCATTCCTTGTTCTAGTAGGAAAAAGAGGAAATACCGTATAGCCCTGGTGATATTTGCTGGAAGCACTCCCTAGGAAGTATAGTCATATAACAGCTTTCTGTCCATAATAATTTCAGTAAGGAGCAATCGTCAGCGAAACACTTATATCTCTAGCAATTCTCTTCCCCACATCTCAGCTCCTTATCTGCCACTAAGAGAAATACAATTTCAAGGCCTCATTTTCTTTCACCTGTTTTGTGGCAAGGCCTTGTTTCAGAGATGTGGCATTCCTATTCCGCCAGCCTTCCTGACCCATATTCTCTCTAATCTCCCAGACCTTCATTTTCTCATCATTACAAAAATCACCCCTTTAAAGAATTCTCAGTGGTAGGATGCTGTGTCTACCCCACCCTGATACCTATATATTATTCCTTTGCAGACATTAACACAATATTCATGATGAAAATACATTTTAATTTTTCTCCGTATAAGAGATGTTCCAGAAGAGCCATGTTTATTTGGGAGAGGGTTGGTGGAGTTTGTGCCGAATGAGGAAATAAGGACAGAGTGACTTGTGATGCAAGCTCCTTTCCTCAGGAGGCCCCTGCTGTGTTGCAGGCTTTTCCATTGTGGTCGGAGTGCTCTTCCCAGTGGCAGTCATATTTGTGGTGGTTGCTGTAGTCCTGTGTCACCAAGGTGCCAGAAGACCGCAGAAGAAAGCTCAGAGGTAAGTATTTATCTCGCGGTGGGAATTCTGTAACTTTTCTTTTATTTTAAGTCCAAGGATATGACCTAACCTCTCTTTTTGTTCCCTTGAAATATCCAGAAATATGTACGTACAGGGTAAATTTTCTTTGGATTAGAGGCCACAGTCCCTTTCAGTGTGAAATCTTTCACAAGAAATACACCTTTTCTTCTTCTCCTTCCTCCTCCTCCACTTCTTCTTCTTCTTCTTCTTCTTCTTCTTCTTCTTCTTCTTCTTCTTCTTCTTCTTCTTCTTCTTCTTCTTCTTTTTCTCCTCCTCCTCCTCCTCCTCCTTCTTTTTCTGTTAGTTACTCTGTTGGTTACTTTTCTCTTGTTCCTGTGAAAAAAATACCTGATGCCCGAAATCAAAGAAAGAAAGGTTTATTTAGCTCATAGTTTGTGGAGGTTTCAGTCCATAATCAGCCAGCTCTAAGGCAGTGTGGCATGGCAGAGAACCAACTGTTCATGGCAGAGGAAGATAACAAAAACAACATGAGCCAAAAAGAGAGGAGAATCATGGAGAGAAGACTCTTTCTGTCCCTGATATTGTATGTAGGCCACACCCACTCTGGAACACTCATACCCATAATCCCAGCATTGGACCACGAATCAATCACAAATTCTACAAGGCTTGCTATGTGACCCCATGAGGCCTTTGGGGAATAGTCACACACAAATCATAACAGTTACCATATTTTAATAAAATTGCCATTAATTTTCATTAGTAATGATTTTTACATTTATTATAACATAATAGCTACCATTTATTGATCATTGGTAATATTATAAACATTTTACTGGACCCTTTTTATCCATTATTTCAATTAATTTTCACAAGAATTTCATGAGATGGGAACTATTATTTCCATTTTGTGAGGAAAAATAGTATCTGATAATCCTGCATGGTTAGGTGCTTCACTTTGCATTGATGTGGGAACAAGTTGAGAGTTTAGCAAATTTATAGTCTTGCAAAGTAAGCAATTGAGCTAAGATTTGCATCTAGATCTCTTTGTTGGTCTTGACACACAGAATTCTTTTAGCATTCTTAACACAAATCTTTCAGTCCATATGAGTCTTTAGTAAATATTACATGATAAAAATTAACAAAATGACATATTTAGATAAAAAATTATTTTTAATGCCATCATGATTAGGACCAAAGCTCTGTGGAGAATTTAAAAGAACATTAGTAGTGGTGATTGTGAACTACAGAACAATGATGGTGGCTGACAGGGAACATAAGCTGAAGAAAATTCTAGGAAACATAAAAAGACAGTCAAGAACTGGGCATAGCACAGCAGTCAAAGGAAGTTGGCAATCTTCTGTGGAGTTTCCCCGGCACGCTGAAGGAAATGCTAAGTTAACTTATGTGACACATGTTTACTTGCAGACCACTGCGTGCTGCTGACTCTAGGCTACCCAAGCAGAAGGGTAAACTCCAGAAGATGAAAGTGGTCCAGCCCCAGGAGGTAAATTCCGGTTTTGCTTGCCAAAGCCCCAGTTGGTGCTTTTCTTCCTTCTTGTACAATGACCACGTATCTTTCATTTTTGCCAAGCGACGTTTAACAAATCTACTTGTTAGTGTATGGCAAGGAGAATGGGCTTTAGGCAATATAGACGGAAAATTCTCTGTCTTTACTTTTTGTTAATGAAGAAGAGAATCTCTAAAATGGGGTTAATTTGATGGGGTCCATGAAATGCAAGGAAATAAAGGATACAGTAAGAGCAGATGGCAGACATCTGTCTCTGTCTCTTTTCTCTGTTCTGGGCTGGTTATTTAATTACTGGCACATTTAGCAACAGAAAAGTAATATTTATATGTAAAGTCTTAATGGCCTTATCATAGCCCACAAGGTTAGCTATTTTATCTATGGCTGATTAATTACAGAAGCATCAGTAATAATCTTCCTGATGGGAACTTTCCTTGTGGATTTGAAAAATATTCCTATAAATGTCCCAGTCAGGCCACTGACATTTTGTGTCTGGTGTCAGCTTGGTTCCAAGTTCATAGAACTTAAAAGGGCTGCTTATTTGGAAGTTACATTTAGGCAACGGATGACTTCATTTTAAAATACGATTGCTTCATTTTAGATCAATCAGATGAAGCTCCCTCTGTCTCATCCGCCCTTAGAAGACTCTGAGCCTCCAGCTTATGTTGTGAGTTATCAGCTTCTTTTTCATGGCATTCCAGTCCAGCCTCCAGGAAATACAGAGAACTAATGAGACATAGAACCACAACGCCCAGTTATGCATTCAGAAAAAGTTTGAAATTTGTGGACTATTAATCTAAAACATAAAATCTTTTGCAAAACTCTTTGAAAATTTAATGTAAGAATCACATTAACTATATTAATAGATGTTTCTCCGTTTTACTCTGGAATTTGACCCCTAAACCTGAAGTTGACGTATTACTATTATTTTTTTTTTTTTATCGGTACCAGGGATCAAACTCATGACTGCTTGCTTGCAAGGCAGGTGCTTATGCCGCTGAGCTAAATCCCCAGCCCCAAGAAGTTGACATATTATTACAAAAATACCCATCTTCTTCACAGAGTACCATATTTAGTTCAGGCAGCTATAACAAAAATAGCATCGACTGGGTGGTTTGAACAGCTAATATTTATTTATTGCTGTTTGGGAAGATGGAAAGGTTAGGATGAAGGTACTGGTGGCTCTGATATCTGAATGATCTTCTTCCTGTTTATAAACAGCTACCTTCTCACTGTGTGAGAAAGATTGCTTGCTTCTTCATGTCTTTCCTTGAAAGGTTATAGTATCTGTCCTGAGAATTCCACCCTCAAAATTTAAGACCCACCAAAATGTCCCGTCGCCAAACACCATCACACTGGGTTTTACAGCTGCAAAATATGAATTTGTGGAGAGACACATTCCTTCCAGAGTAACTCTCCTCATTACATGGCCACAGCTTTGGGCTCGTATCTGAATTGTATGTGTACATTTAAGTGAATGGTATCGAGTAGAATACTCTCTCGTGAAAAGTTACAAATTCACTCCTGAAAAAGACTTAAACCTTTTTGTTTAAACAAATCTCCTCTCAGGAGCTCACCTTTGAATTGGTATGTCTTTTTATATCTTACTAGTTAGTTCCAAAGCCTGATTTCCCACCACCGCCAATTCCTACATCGGTATCTTCTTCTTCCTTTTTCCTTGTAAGTATCACATGGTCATTGGTAAATTTATTAATGTCTCTTGAGGCCAGTGAAAATATTGTCCCTAAACAGAGCATGTGATCTGGAGGCTGACTGAATATATTATATAACTTTTCCCCTAGAAGAGCTTAGAAACCAAGCCCTATTTGCTATCTATATATATTTATATGAGTATTGAATTATTACTATGAATAAAGGTCTCTGATTTTATAGTTGTTGAGAAATTAGTAAACATCTGTTGTATATAAATGTCTCTTTTAGAGGGTTATTTTTCAAGTTGTTTATTGTAGAGGATATGACATTTTATTATAAATGATATTTATTATAGATAGAATAAGGCCTATTGTTTTTACAGTTTTCCGTAAGATGAAGAGGATGAAAAGAGAAAATCACTCACAGGAAATCTTAGGATAAAAGTCAAAAGCTCACCAAGTAAAACGTAAAACTCATCCATTCACCAAAAGTTTCTGAGAATATTTCCTCATGCTTGGGGCTCTGTCATAAGTAAAGGTTAACACTGAAATTCTTTTTAAAAAGAAATTTTACAACTTTTGTGGGGAAATTGTATACTTGTAGTCACATGCAGATGGAGTAAAGAAGTCCTCAAGTATTATTGGTGACAACATAAGTGATGTTACTGAGAAACACAGGGAGCAGAAATGAATGAGCTCAGAACGGTGAACCATGGACTGATGATTAGTATTTGACTTGGTTCTTCAATGTCAGGTAGAATGTAAATAAGTGACTAGTAGGTAATGAATATTTTAACGAAATAACTATATTTTGCTAAGATGGGAAAAGCATAGAATTTTGAATATTCCAGTATTATATTTTTATCTAACAGCATAAGGACCCAGAAGTACTTCCTTCTACTCTTATCAAAGATAAACCAGTGTCTACACCTGAGGTAAGAGATCTGTAGTCCATAATGACAACTTTGTAGCAGTTCTAGTATGGAAAGAAAAAAATTCTGTCATCTCTTCTTAGAACAAGTTCACTATGAGCAGTGTCTGCTGACAATGGCACAGGTGTTAGCATAAATATCCTGCCACTAAATTTGGCGAATGCTCCTGATAATCAAGAGCAGCAAAGTGGATAGATATGATGACCTCAAAATTTCTGATCTTCTCAGAAATAGTCCTCAAGGACACTGGCAATGGATGCAATCTCCAGTAGAATACTCAGGTGGGGCCCCTCATTCTCCCCTGGTGCCCCACGCTGTCCTATTATGCAAGTTGTCTGCATGGATATTTATATGCTAACATGATACCCTCCTGCATTACATTTCTATCCTGCCATGTTTTAGCTTCTTTAGCTAATACATAAATAAATAACCTGTATGAAAGAATGATTTCAGAGAACTGGTTTCATTTTTTGAATAATTCCACATTATACCTCTAAGATATCTCAATGTGTAAGAGAAATAAACATTTAAGAATTTTGTCTTTTGTTTAGGACTCAAGTCTAAAACTCTGAAGCATCAGTTAAGCAAAGATCGATGGCCAAACGAGCAAAATAGAAGACTGGACAGTCCAGATGCGACACTCCGGACTAAACATCCCTCTATGCTCTGCACATTCCAAGTTAAGTCAGCATACTCTGATGCTTGTAATACCTTGAAGACCTTAAATAAATTTTTTTCAAGAGAGACACCCTCTTAAAAATCTTTGTATTAATTTAAAATTTATTTTCTCTATTCTTAATGAGAAGGTAGATAACTCTGAAGAGCATCTATGAACCTGATATTTCCAATCAGCTTATTTTTCCCATAATATTCCCCTTTTTGTTTTGAGGCTGCATAATTAGTTAATGAGTTTGAAAACCTTAATTTGCTCATGTGTAGGAATTAATGCACTTTAGTGAAATCAAAACAAAATGGAAATTACAAAGTGGGAAAAATGGGATGCAAAGTATGTATTCATTACTGACTGGCAATATTTTTGATTGTTTTACCTGTTTACTTGTCAAAGTTAAAACCCTTAGGAAGAAAATTAAGTTAACATTCTCTGTCTTATATGATATATCTCCTATAATGTCTCTAGAGATTTTTATTAGCTCTGTATTTGTTTTTTCTACAATTGAGTAAAACATTTTCGAAATAAAATTTTGTCATACATTTTTGTGTAATTTAATTACTGGCATTACTAAACTGGACTTTACTTTCTAAACAGAGGTTTAAGTTGAATAAATTCATAGCATAAATCAGAGGCTGCAATCTGCAGACCTACAAGCCATGTTTGGACTGCAAGTTATTTATTCTGGCCTAAAGATTTTTGTCAGGTTTTCAAATGTTTTGAATTTGTTGCCAGTATTTAAAAACTGTGCATAAACTTTACATTTCCAGCTTTTAAAAGAAGAATGAGGTGCTCTGTTAAAACTAGAATCCACTGCCCACAAAACCACAGCTTAGTCGAGTGATTGGGCAAACATTGTTGGCTATAATTCAAGTATGTCCTGTCCCCTTCACTCTCGGAGCCCAAATTTGGTCCAGCTGTCCATTTCTAGGAAAGAATAACCTCATCCTCCATCATGTGGGTAAATCTGATTCTTCTAATCTGATCACAATGATTTTTTTTTTGGCCAGTGGTTGATCTGGAAATGGATGTTTAGCTCTCCCCTTCCCGTGAGACAAATGAGGATTTACCATTGGATATTTTTTTTTTGTGAAATATTCCCTCATCTTTTCTTGCGAATGCTGGTATCCATCATTCCTGCAGCTGTGCTTTGATTCAGAAGATGAGGAGGGTCCCGGAAAAGCAGAGACACTAAGAGAATAAAGTGGGTTCTAATGGTGCCATTGAACTGCTTGACTAATAGGGCTGAAGTCCCCTCGTCTGTGTTGGGGCTTCTTATTATAAGACCAACACAGTTTCCTTATTGTTCAAACCACTTGGCGTTGGGAATTCTCACCTTTATAATAGAAGCTGTCCTTTTTAAGAAGATAGCTTTTGGTCATTTTCAGGCTGCCTGACTTCTACATCGTTGTCACTGACATGTTTTTCCTAAACTTGATCAGTTTCATCCCTTTCATCACTTACCTGCCCCTCCAGGGTTTTCTTTTCATCAGGAACCTTGCCCCTCAAGAGGTCCATGCATCCTTGCAGTGTGGGGATCTGGATAAAGTCATTCTAGCCACAAAAATGAAGCTCAATCCTCAGCAAGTCCAGAGTCCATCTGTTAAATAATTTCCATGTTTGGAGCCTTTCTTTCCACGTGGAATTAACACAAGAACAATATAAAAAGTACAGTTGGATCTGCAGTGTGAGATGTTAGCTCATCTCGTCCTGACCCAGAAACAAACTCTTCTTTCCTATAAAGCCACAATCTACATGTTAGCAACCTTCATGTCTCTACTGGATGTTTGTTTGCTCTTTATTTTAATACCCATCCCTAGCCAACAACTCAACTTAGCCTTTAATACTAACAATATAGAAATATTGGTCCTATGGGTCCTCAATAAACCACCAGCCTAGCCAGAGACAGACATAAATCACCACCCTCAAGGAGTGGTCTTCAAATGTTCCTGTAGGTTATTACAGGATGCCACTGTGTCCTCCATGTGGAAGGACATTAGATCCCTTACAATGACTGGCAACCTACCAACAATAGCAGGAAAACTATTCTCTTAGCTTAGTCAGCTCTGCACCCATCTCTTTGAGCTGACTGACACAGCGGAGCAGTTTAAACAGTTTAGAGCTCACTTTGATTTCACAGTTCATGTCCCTGTCCCAGATTTGCAACTGATGGTGTGCAAATTCCATCATTTGACTTGGAACCAACACAGCCTTACTATCAAACTTATTCTTATTAGTTATTTTTACACCCTCCCCCCGTATTTTCTTTTAACAGATTCAGTTCTGTTCCTGTCAAGACACACTGTGATAAGACACCACATGGCTTCTCTAAGCACTTTTTAGCGCCTCACAAAATTATTGCCTTTCATGCATTTTGGAAGTGCTTTAAACTTCGTACAAAATAACGATGTATGCAAGAAAAGGGAAGCAATTCTTGATACAATTAGATAATGTGGAAAAGGCTTTATTAATATTAATGCGTTAAGATTTTGTATTGGTAGATGTCTGTATTTACTAATAAATCGCTCATCACAGAGAACTGGTGTGCATGCGTATTGCATCTTGATCTTCGTTTGACTTTCACTTCCGGTTCCCTGTCTCTCATTCTCTCCCATTGCCAGTCTCCTTCCTATCTCTTCAAAGTCTACTTCCTTGTTTCCTATCATCTATTTTTATTTTGCTCTTTAAGTTATTTATACTTTGGGTTTCTCACTTAAAGGAAATCACGGTATTTAATTTTCTGGTGTCTGCTTTATTTCACTTATGGAATCAACATGCATCCAACTTTACTATCAATGAATCAAATATGTCCTGCTTTGTAGCAAATTCTGAGGTGGGTACTTGCCAGAAGTGTATTCCCCTTACTACTTAGGTAGTAACAGAGTGTATTCCCGCCTAGTTTTGGGATAATAGAATGAGAGGAGGCAGGACAGGGAGAAGGAGAATGACCACAAGGGTAGATTTTCTCATTCTTAACATCTGCTTGTTTTAGTGTCTGGCCATGCTTGAAGGATTCCCACATTAGGGGTAGTGTTCTGTTGGTGTTGTAGTCACTAAGGAAAATATTCTGCATGCCCTCCCTAGCTTCCTTTCATGGTCATAAACCTTTTTTGGCCAAGGACACTCTTTTTGAGATGCGCCCTCCCAGAGCTTTGAATCAGGAGTGTGTAACCCAAGGCACCCATGGAGAAAGGTCCCCGGCAGTGTAGGATGTTGCAATACAGCCAGTCTACGCAGGAAGCCACGGCGGTGGGACCAGCTGTAGGCTTAGGTTTGGTTCAGTGCAAATGGTATCAGCAGTGTGAACTGGACGAAGGTGCCAGGCTGAAATGAATATTCTGTGTTAATCACTCTACATGATAACAGTGGCAGCTGTAATTGCAGATTGCATCATTCCCAAGCCTGGTTCTCCAGGCCTCTTGCTTTAGACAACCAAAATTTTGTTTGTCTTTTAAATATTTTTTCAATGTGGTAAAATATAAATAATAAAAGTTCCAGTTTTAGACAACTTTTATTATTTCAGTGGCATTATATGCACCCAAAATACTGTACACCATCACCACCATCGATTTTCAGAAAGTGTTCATTATCCCAAACAGAATATCTTTATCCACTAAAGAGTAATTAACTTACTTATGCTTGCAATGTCATCTCTATTTTACCTTTTGTTGCTATAATTTTTGCCTATTCTAGCTACCTTGTATAAGCGGAATTATCTAAAATATTTCCTTTTATGTGTCTGAATTATTTCCATTAATGTACTATAATATAATTCTATGGCACATCTACGTCTAAATCCATCATTTTACATATGGTGCTTTTAGTATTTTAGAACCTCACTTACAAGCAGAATGATTGCCACCCTCTCCTTCCCTAGAGCTGCCTCCAAGGTTGGCATCAGTGTCAGCTCACGGTAAAACCTTAGATGGGTGACTGATAAGAATGACAAAAGAATGACACAAGTTCAGAAGTTTACCTAGGTGCCATCTAAAGTGGTAAACATACAACTACAGATAACAGTCTCCTTCTGATGTGTCTCAACTTTCGAGAAAGAAGGTACCTACCTGAACTACGAAATTACTGCCATTATTTTTTTCTCCTAGAGAAGGCTTCAGTTTATAACTTAGCCTTCAGTTCAGAGTTGTAACTCAGCAGATGGCTTTTTTTCTCCCTTTTTAAGTCAATGCATGTCACTCTGTTGGCCTTGTAAACTCTTTAGCTGAAAAGATACATTCTGCTCAGCATTGTGTGTCTTTAAGGACATGGGACTGTAATTGATACGTAGGATCTAATGACAGGCAAAGATTTTCACTTCTTCATGAAACAGCAAGACCGTGCACAACCAGTAAAAAGTCTTCGAGAAGACAGGAGGGGATGTTGAGAGAAAATGTAGTGAAACTATGAGAAGAAAAAGAGACATAGAAAAATAATTTTTTGGTGTGGGAGGGTATACCCTACACAAGAATGGGATGATATACAGTCCCTGCCTGGTTATGCCAATAACACTTTTTAGCCTTAGACAAATAATATAAGTTCATTGAGCATATTCCTGCTTGCCTGTCTATAACATAATATGGAATTCAGGATCCACCAGCTGTCAGTACTGGGGAGGGCACTGCAGTTTGGACCTTGAAAGACAGTGGAAGGAGGAGGAAAAAAGGAGTCTGCATTGTGTGTGCACTGGCTCCCCATCCAAAGGATGACACTTCCTCAGCTTGTCAGCGGCGAGGGCATCTAGACAGAGAATGCTGCATCACCCATCTCCCAGCACAAGGCACATTTGGGAACAGACTTGTTATTTGTAAATATTTCATTGATGAACCTTTGTCTTATTGGTCTTTTATTCCCCTGTGAAATGTTTTTAGAATTTTTCTACATATGGCTAGTGAGTTTCTTCCTTGTTTGGTAAATTAAAGCCTTAGATCTGACTTATGGATAATATCACTTAATCCTTGTAACTATTCTGTGCAACAAGTCACAGTCAACATTTTACACAGTAGAAAAGTGATATAAAGATGAAAATAACTGATTTGTTTCTTGATCACATAACTGCTTTTGCTTCAGCTTTGTTAGA